AACAACATGGCAGGAGGCAGTATGAGCACAGATCAGTGCTACTTTAACATTTTCCCCTAAAAAAAAAACTTTCAAAGCTAACCCAGCAAGCTGTGTGTGATTTATTTTTTTAGACTTCCTCTGTTCTAATATTTCGCCTTGCTGACGTGGCAGTGTGCCCCAGCATGTGTCAATATTCCATCCCGGCCATCTGTATGTTTCCAGTTGCAGGTGCAGAAAAGCAGTTGTTTGCGAAACGCTTATCTCTGATGCAGGATGGCGATGTACTGAAAAGCTTTAACCAGATACCTCAGCTGTTTTATTGCCTTTCATTTGCAAGACGTGTGAAAAGAGTAAAGACACGGCCTCTCTTCATGCTTTTATAACCGTTTAACAGTTAGAAGTTGAACATTGAGATGCATCTGAAAGAAACGTACAGAAGTAAAAACAAGCAGATAAACATCCATTAAAAACAAGCTAATAAGCCGTGACTTAGTATCTGGTCGAGGACCCAAAATTTAGACTGTAGCTGTGCTCACTCAGTTGAAGAAGGTAAACAAAGATGGCATCTCTGCATTGCTCAAAAAGCTCCCCAGTCTGGCTGTGATTGTTTTAAATTCCAGCTGTGATAGGCATTTTTATTTTTATGCTTGCCGGTAATGTGATAAAAAAAAAAAGAGAAAGAAAACAAAGCGCGCAGACTCTGCTTCCTCTCTCTGTAGAGGCAGGCGGAGCAAGCAGCCCTGTAACAGTCCTGACTGGTAGCTAATCTTAATGGCATATTCAGCTGGGGCTTGGCCTACATAGAGTCGCTACTAGCAGTGCTTCTTCTTAAAAAGGAAACCTGACATGCTATGCGGTGCAGAAGATCTAACGTGTGAACCACACGGCGTTTCAGCGTGCGGCGTGCCAGAAAAAGGGGACACGGCAGTGAGTCCGCTCACCGGTCGGCAGCAGCCTTAATCTGAACTAATTGATGTTCAGCTTCCCTATCCTGTTGTTTTCGCTTTTCATAGCTCGTCAAAACAAAGGGGAGGTCTGACCGGGACTGAAAAGAAGGAGTGCTGTGGGACGTTGTCTGGTAGAAATACAGGAGTGGATACATTCGCTCACTGAATTGGCTTTGGATACACGCACAGTCACATACTTTAACATACCCTCTGTCCTATGAAACACTGGGTCAATAGTCCATTCCCTATAGCTTGCACCCTTGGTCATTGGTCCTATCAGTCAGCTGTCACAGACGCCATTCCCAGCAGTGCACAGCAATGCTTCCTAGGTCTGAGGAGTCAAGATGTGAGAAGCGACATGAGAATGTGAAGGAAATTTGGCCACCAATGTGAAAAACATGCCAGATGCCGCCATCCTATGTCCATCCACAGCTCTGAAAAATCTCCCTTTCTCCATCTCTGCCTTGTTTTTTTTTTGTTTGATTTGATGCCTTAAAATCCCTCTTGTGGATTAAAAAAAGTATATAAACCATGTAATTTGTTCAGTTTAAGGATCATAGGATCCCAGACTGAGCTTAGGTGAGAACTCTTAATCTGCTTGTGATTTTGTGATAGATAGTAATCAGGCAAGGAATGTAATCCTTCCCTGGGCGGAGGACTGAGCGGCCGGTGGTAGAACAGGGTCGCTGCTCCATCTCCAGCCAGTTGTAGCGATCACATGACGCTGCCGTTAAATCGCAAAAATCGCATCTCTCTCTCTCTCACAAGCCCCCAGAAGCCATTGCAACAGTGTCATAAAACCATGCCATTTATCCTAATCCAGCAGTTTGTCGGCTTGCTTTACACGGAGCAGACTGTCGGCCACAAACACGTTTCGTTCTCGCTGCCCCCGCCATCATTTTGGACATTGGAATTCAACTGGTCACCACACACTGCTTCTCCGTCTGCCGCCAACCTCAGAGATCGGACGCGCTTATCTTACCAAAAAGGTCGTCCCAGTTTCAGGGCAACTGGCTGAGTCAGACTTCTAAAGGAAAGTGAGGCCACGCCGCATTTTAAAATGGATTATTAGAAAAGTTTTTGCTCTTATTTGCTCTGGATGCTCTGAGTTTTGGTCTGTTTCTTCTTCTGTTGCCCTATTTTTTTTTTCTATTTCATTGCAACTGTTCTAGTTTGCTTCTCCATCCTGAGTGGGACAGACTCCTTCTAAGAGGAGGGCTCCGCCACACCCGCTCATTTGTTCTCATTTGACTTCTCTCCGTTAAAAGGCGAAGTAGAGGTGGCACCGTCCCCACGGGGGCAGCGTTGCATTTTCACCTTGATTGCTTTTGACTCTCTTATTTAACGCGCCTCTTCAGCAGCGGCAGAGGCAGAGGAGGCAGAGCCGGTGTGTCACACGCTCTGTCCAGAGAATGCCGCCGCCGGACGTGATCTGCACCTGCGAACGCGTCATCCGTAACCCCCGAGAAACGAAAGCGGCATCTTTTCCAGCATTGTAGGGAGAGTGGATTGAAAAGACATCCGCACCGTGCTGTAGACTGCAAGACCGCGCAGCCATTAGCTGCTTTGGGAACGGAGGGGATATGTTTTTGCAAATGGATTGTGCATAGAACGTGTGGAGCAGCCTCAGAGATCTGAACGACGTTCCAAAAAAAAAAAAAAAGAAAATCGCCGGTTGTGCTGATTCAGGTTGGTTGCTGCCTTCCATTTGCCTCGTTAAAAGCAGTTTGCCTCGCAGAATGTGGGAAAAAAAAGCCATGCTCCCAAACCGTTTCTATTAGTAGTAGTTGAGTTTGATGCATTTAATGAAGCATAATTATCACGCCAGCGTTTTAAAAGCTTTTGTGAGAAAGCAGTAGATTTCATAGCACTCCTGTCCTCAGCCTCTCCCGGAAAAATGAAAAGCTCAGCTCATGTGCTGAATGAGGAAGCTGTAGTGATGGAGGCAGGCTGTTGGTCTGCACACCAACATTTACAGCTGAGAGCACGAAACCAGCAGCATCCCTGAAGGGGTCGTGACACTAAATTATTGATCTTTGTGCATGTGGCATTTCTTTGGTTGAAATGCACCATAAACCTACGGCTACAGAGGAAAGGCCACACTTTTTTTTATTCGTTTCTTTTTGCCTTGGGATTGTAAAAGTCTCTTTTTTTTGTTTGTTTTTTTGTTGCGACAATAACTTTGAGCGGACACAAATAGAAAACAAAAATGGACGATATCACACTGGAAGGAAAAATTAGATTAAGTTTGACAGTCAAGAAAGGATTTTAATGCATTATTGTAAGGGAAAAAACAGTGGATATTTGCTGTAAACTCTCCAGATAACAAATATAATATAATTACACTTACATACAGTGTGTTACATTCATGTTTTTTTACACATTTTTTTTTAAAAACGTTTAAAATGTTAGTTTTGTGTTATTATTACTATTTATCTACATTTAAATGGCATCATATATTGTGAATAAGAACCACAATCCTAGTATTAAGAAACGACCTTCTTTTTATTCTATATTATGCATGAACAGGACAGCACAGAGATCATTGGCAGCATTTCGTAGCTTTGGAGTCTAAACGGCTGAGATCTTTCCACTGTACAGTAATTCGATCGCCAGCCTGTGTGTTGGAGATTTGATCATCAAACTGCATCAGATGTTTCTGATGTATGACCACCAGCGTTTTCCGCTTGATCCGCGTCCATTCATCACACACACATACCAGGGATCCACAAACGAAGCAGAGACAGAGACGGCACAATCTCTAACGGGGTTCTGACTGTGGGTGTTTTGCCAACAGTAGGTCAGGGAAGTAACGCGTCTCTGGAGGCAGACTGGGGCAGCCTCCCTTCTCATTAGGACGGGGTGTAACGTGGATTTTTAACCACTGTTTTTTTTTTTTAAAAACAAAACACAAAACATATAAAGGTTTTATCATGGCGAGCGTGTCAGGTCACATCTAATCTTTTTGGGTCGCACTTTTTAATCTTTCCAGCCCGCATAATCCCACGATTTCGGTGAGCCTCGGATTTGATACATTATGCTGCTTTTGATAAGGACTGTGTAGTTGGATGGTGGTGGTGGGGGGGATAACTGGAATCACCTTTACAACCCCGTAGGTGTTTTAAATCTGAAGCCGCGCCAATGCCGATGTTTAAATCTGAGTAACAAAAGTTGACTTCTTTGTCTGTGGGTTATATCATTCCGTGTTTAGCGGGTCAAATAGCAGAGGGAAGAGCTACAGTCACCTTCCTGGAGTTGGATTTTAATGTCATCTCTGTCCTTGTGCTACTGAATGATACTCTGCCTAGGCAGAGGGTTTGATAGATAACCATGCTATGGCTATCCAGGCCACATCTGGAGGACCTATGCATCCGTCCCATCCCCTCCTGCTCTCGTTCCAGCCTGACAAACCCGCTTCACATCGAGTAACAGGAAGCGGGTAACTGGAAGGTGGCCTTCTTTATTCCTCGGGTGCTCTCTTTAATTCTCCCCCCTCTCATATTGTGGATCCCATCTCCTTTTCCTATTAGATTTCCTATTGTCACAGAAGATGGAATGCACATCTAAAGTCAGCCGGGTGTGTCCTGGCAGGGCCGTGGATGGCTCAGAGCTCCACCGCGTTTGGGGGGGGCCATTACAGTGGCTGCTGCGGCCGGAGCGACTAAGGGGGGGGAAACAGTGCTCGGCACAAATGATTTGTGCTGCGCCACTGCCTCGTGGTACACACAGAGAGGCATTAGCATCACGATGCAGATGCCGACGGAGGGGAGAGGAGCAGAGTTGTTAGCCAGGCTCACAAGTTGCCCCGGGCACTCCTCTGTTTGGACAGGGAGGACGCACAAGGCTAAACGGGAGCAGGGAAAATGCGATCCTCGTGTCAAAACAAGTTAGGGGGATGTCACACGCCGGTCGGTTAACGTCCGGTGTCACTGATACGCGGCCGTGCCGCGCGCCATATTGCGTTTCTCGGCGTTGGCTTTTCAAGACGTCTCAGCAGAGGGGGTGGGGGACGTCAGCCCCAAAGCCCTGGGGACATTTTCAACGCCACTACAATACGCACACGAGAAACACATGGCCACAAAGGCACAGCCCAGCACATCGCGGCATAGAGGGATGTTTTCTCATGCGCGTCACGTTTCCCCGTCTGTCTCCCGCTCCAAGTCCCAGCGCCAGCCCCTTACTCCAGCACGTGACGCCTGCTCCACTTTCCTTTTGACTTTGTGAATGAAGCGCCTCTCAGTTAGTGAGCAGGGAACATCTCATGAATATAATGAAGCAACCCTCGCTGTTTTGTACAGCTTTGTCGGAAGGAAGCGTTTGTTTTGATGCAAAGCAGAAAGGAGAGGTGTTGTGTGTGTGTGCGCGTGCTGGGAGTGTCTTTGTTTAATGTGTCTCTTATTTAAATAGAGTATCTATATAAGTGCCTGCTTGTTCCATCCTCCCTCATGTGTAGAGGTTAACGCTTACTGTCCCGGCTTCTTCTTTGCCCTCTTCCTTTTCCTACTCACAATTTAAAAAACCGAATCATTTAGGTATCAAGTGTTCGGGACCTGTCTTTGAAATGATGTTACTAAAGTCGCTGTAATCCGATAATTTCTTATGAAGAGGCGCCCTAAAGGCAACATGTCCTCGTTCCTCATTTTGGTTGAAGCGAAACTTAGATTAAGAAATAATGATCAGAAAGAAATGAAAGGTTATGGAGAGAAACTCTATCAAGCAGGAAAGGAAAATTGGCAAAATCTGATGATCTTAACAGTCTTAAACTTGGGCCTGCGATCAAAAGGGAAGATACAGATGGTCCGTCTGCAAAACATGAGGCTCCAGAGCCGGATAATAGTCATTAGGTATTGGCATCCATCCATATTTTTGCGCAGCTGATTCAAATAAATCAGAAAATTGTGATTCAGAGTATGATTCAGTGTATCTGGACTGTGCCTCAGTTACTTTCACATTAAAGTGGCCACACTTCCGCTATTGGACAGTTTGTCTTTTACTCTTACGTTTTAATGTGGCTTTTGGGAAAATCATATAATTTTTTTAGGGCTATCTTAAAATCTTTTTGACTGTTTCTTTCTTCTCGTGCATGAAAAAAAGCGTTTTACATATTATGAAACCCACTCTTCTTTACTTTCAATTTTACCTGTCATAGTTTATAACGCATTCTGTTCCATGTAGGAACGTCTACAGTGACTATATTCTAATGTATAGTTTGCGTGGCTCTTTTCTTTCTTTTAATTTCTTTTCTTTTTTTGTGTATACAACCGTCCTCATCTCCTGCTCCTGAGGGAAGCTGGCTTTTGTGTACTGATGTTGTGGAATGCACAGCATGCCCTGTGTAATTGCTCAACTTTTGCCCCTTTCTAACAGCCCATATTTTAAACGTACAGCAGTTCGTGAACTCGTGCACAGCCATCGTTCATCACACAACCCCCCCCCACCCCCCCACCCTTGGCGCTGGCAAATCTCTTTAGTGTTATTATTTAGTGTTGGACATAGGAATTCAATACAGAACTTTAAAAACAACACATTTTCCCCACGTGTCTCTCGACAGTGCTTCTATAAATTGGATCGCACATTCATTATTGCCAGACTCCCCCAGATGAGCTGCCATGCAATCGGCGAGGGCCAAACCTCCTTTGTTCTCTTCGGCGAATCAGCCAATCACACGCAAGGAGTCCTTACCTTGGCCAGTGAGCCAGGCTGGCAGCAGTGATTTATGAAGCCCTTTGAAAATATATGGAAAGTTGTCATGTACAAAATTAAGGGGATGCCTCACAGAGCTTTTCCCCTCACCGAAATCTCATTATTACTTTGGGCTGGTGGGAATGAAGGAAATGTAGGAGAAAAGTGGCATATGAATTTTAGCTTCAATTAATTTTGAACAAAGGAATAAATGCATTAACGCTTAGTTAGCCCCCTCGAGATTTTTCAACCACTTTTTTTCTAGTATTTTCCCTTTCTAGCAATCCGACAATGATACAATGATTGTCGAGTTTAACAAAGGGAGGCTGGTGACTGGAACAATATTTGAAAATTTCCAATATATGTAGTTTGCTTCTTTTCCTGCATTGAATTACAAGATTCCTCATTGACCCTAATCAAGATGAGGTTGTATAGCACGCTATTATGATTCAATCAATGAAAGGTATTTTTTGTATTGGACTGGCTTCCTACACTTTGTATATTGGGATAGGCTCCAGCCCTCCTGCAACCCCATTGGGAAATAAGCGGTAAAGAAAATGGACGGATGTTTAGTGTAGTGTTAACTTTTCAAGTTGTGACCGTAATAACACATTTCCATCATGAGCGGCAGCTAATACACAGCCATAATGTGTCCCACCACAACTATGCAGACGACTGTCGGATCTACGTGTCACTGACAGCAGGAGAACTCAGGCCTGTTTGTGGATGCTAAACAATTTCCTCCAGTTAAACATGAATAATAGTCTGTGGTCCACAGAAAGAAAGAAATTGTCATCAATCACCTTCAGACTCTCTTTCTAAAACCTAATAAGCAGGTAAAAAATCTAAGGCTAATACGGGACTTACACCTGAACATCGGAAGCCTTTTACTATCTAAAAAAACACTGCCAGAATCAGAAGAATAGTGTCTAAATAGACTTAGAAAGACAAACTGGGATCTAAACGAGACATGAGAACATCCAGAACACTGCTGCTCCAGTTCTGACCAGAACCAGGAAAAAAGACCAGACCTTAGTCCAGTGCTCAGGTCTCTGCTCTAGCTTCCTGTCGCTCAGAGAACAGACTTTAAAAAAGCTCTGCTTGTGTACAAGTCTCGTCATGGTCTCTGGCCAAAGTACATCTCTGACATGTTAGAGGCAGATGAACTAGCCTCAGTTAGTGGTCTCCTGCTGGTTCCCAGAGTTAGGACCAAACAAGGTGAAGCTGCCCTTTCACTTTTATGCTCCTAAAGTCTTCCTGGAAAAGTAAGACAGGCCTCAACTCTGACAATATTTAAATGCAGGCTCAAAATAGTCCTATTTAGCTGTGCATATGAAAACTGAAGGTATTTTATCTGTACTCTTCACTCTTAAATGATTTAATCTATGCTTTTAACCTGTTTTACTTTGTTGAACTTATTTTAAATTTTTGCATTTTAAACCATCAGTTTTTTCTGAAATTTTCTACAATCTTTCATGCAAAGCTTTACGAGACTTTTATGGTCTTGCACATGAATTGAGCTATACAAATACATTTGTCTTGCCTTGCCTAAAGTATCAAGAGAAATGCATGGCTGACATCTTCTGATTTTCATCCGTTCTGACAGAACCCAGACAGGTTGTTGTTTCTTTACACCCCCCCCCCCCACATTCATTCTACTGTGAAAACAAATACAATCAGTGACTGTCCGAATCAATTATCAACACACTATTTCCATAGAGATCAGAGCTTCGCTCGCTACACACACAGACACACATACTCAAAGGGGAAACAGTGTATTGTCAGATCGAGTGAAGTTGTGGTACTATTGCCTGTTTATCTTATGATTTATTATCTTATTTAAGCACTTACATAAACACATTAATCTGACACCAGCAGTATAAGAATTTAAGGTAGTCTGTAAAACACTTAAACTTTAAATATTAGGTCTGGTTGAGACTGTTCTATGACTTAGGTCATAGAACACTTAGAAAATGATGAAACATTAACAATATTGACATATAAATCTACTTTATTCAAGATTTGGTGTTTTCATTAGCAACTGACCTAATCTTTTCTTTTATTGCATACAATACAGAGGAAACCACTCGGTTACAACTAAACTGAGCACTGATCTCCTTTTATTTTGTTCCCTGTTCTTTGACCGATAGGAAACGAAGCCCATCTGCATCCAGGGATCCAAACCAAGCATACGACCAAAGGGAGGGGGGCGAGCACCCGCAGTATGCCCCGACAGACGGCAGCATGCCCAGATCACCGTCCGACTATGGGGATAGGGACCCTCGGCGGGCGCCACGGGGCCCGCAGATGTATCCAGATGTGGACTCCGTGCAAATGGGCTACCGGGACCGGCGGGGCCCCGGGCGCTGGCACTCCCAGGAATACCCCCTCGACCAAGAGCTAGACGGACCGCCCAGTGAGTATGACCTCCAGCGGCAGCGGCAGGAGGAGTTCCAGACGCGGTACCGCAGCGACCCCAACCTGGCCCGCTACCCCGTCAAGCCTCAGCCTTACGAGGAGCAAATGAGGATGCACGCCGAGGTCGGCCGGCTGAGGCACGAGCGTCGCCATAGCGATGTATCCCTGGCCTACACGGAGCAGGACGACCCCGGCCCCATCCGGCTGTCCCGTCAGCACCTCACCGAGCGCCGGCCGCCTATGGGGGGACACCGCTCGTACTCTGTTGACCGCTCTTCCCCAGGCCCTATGGGCCCCGGCCTAAGCCACAGAACCTCCAATCACAGCCCTCCGACGCCACACCGCAGCCCTGTGCTGGGCGACCGGACAGGGGACCTGCGACGAGGAGACATGGGGGTAGGTGGCGATCCAATGAGGAGGCAGCAACACCACTTGGACCCCAATTCTGCCGTACGCAAGACCAAGAGGGAGAAAATGGAGAGTATGCTAAGGAATGACTCTCTAAGCTCTGACCAGTCCGAGTCAGTGCGGCCCCCACCCCCCAAACCCCACAAAACCAAAAAGGGAGGGAAGATGAGGCAGGTGTCACTGAGCAGCTCAGAGGAGGAGCTGGCCACCACCCCAGAGTACACAAGCTGCGAGGATGTGGAAATAGAGAGTGAGTCAGTCAGTGAAAAAGGTAGGAGCCTGCTTTCACTGTTCACAGATGTGTTTATTAGTCTGTGTCATACAAATACAAACCATTCAGATGTCTTTTTGCAGTTTTAAAGCCATGCTTCTATAATTTTAGGACATTTTTACAGGAAGTTGACATTTAGTTGTAATCATGTCATTGTTTTGTATTGACTGATTCTTGATGCTTTGAATGATACTGTATAACACATATATATATATACATATGTACATGTATGTTTATATATGTAGATATACGTTTTTTTAGATACGTCTGCGTGTGTTAGTGTGGTAAATATGTGTAATTTATGTGTATGGCTTATTATTTTCAGTTTCCAAAAAAACATTAATGATTTAATTCAGTTTGTTAAAGATTTATGCTGAATTTCATGAAGCATGAGTGCCTTTACAACTTTCAACAGCAAAGTACAGTAAATTGTGACAAAAAAACAAACAGACTTGTTTTGAATCTAAGATTGAATCTAATCTTTGAATATAAACAATCCTAATATTACAGAAAAACATCTTTAAAAAGAACTGATAATGATGAGCCATCTCTTCTTTTTTGCAAAGCACTGCTGGATTTTCCTTGTATTAATGAATCCACCTTAACAGCTCCTGTGCCTTTGAGGAGGAGGAGACTTGTATGTTGGTCTGCGAGAAATGTGGTGTGGATGTGTGTGTTTATGTTTCTGGCTTTAAGTGAGTCTTTCACCACTGCTCTCAACATTCTCTTCTTTTTGCTGCTGTCCTATGCCGGTATTTGGTCCTTTCACAGCTGTTTGAGGCGATGGGTCCGTACAGATGAAACAGTGTTGCCTTGTGAAGCTCCTGGGTTGTGGGCATGCCGTAAAACAATGTGAGATGGATTATTAATAACAGCTGCACTTGCTGATATCTCTGATGCTTATAAATAACCAAAGGTAAATGAGTAGATCTCCATCTTCTCCTGGAGCCTAGTGGCCTTCTCTATAAGCTTTTACCTCACTATTTTTACTCTGCATCGCTAGTTATGTACTATTCTGCTACCGTGCTGTAAATCCTGATGGAACAGCAATAGCACTATGAATCACACCACTTAGGTGAGGTCATTATTAGGTTACACGGTATAAAAGGAGAGGTCTCATAACTTATTCACCCATAGACGAGCAGTATTTAAAATGGTGGAAAGGGTAAGCAAATGTTAAATGAATCTTAGTGTAAATACTAAACCATCATTTTGGAGCTCAGTCTAAAAAAAGAATAGTTACAGCTGACATGACTGAAGTGAGGTATTTGGTTACAGCTATTCTTGTCCCTCTGCTTCACAATAAGAAATTAAAAAAACATTAAAAAGGAAAGAAAATCGACACGTAACAAAGGGGCAAATAGACAGAGTGACCGAATGCTATTTTTGCATAGAATCAAGGCAGAAATCAATTGGATAGGCTGTTAACTTTGTGACCGCTCCACCTGGTTGACGTTGTCTTAATTGCAAATTGATTTTGTTGTCAAACCTGTAATTGAGACCCCCCTTTTACCTGAAAAAACGTTGAGAGCGGCAAACAGAGAAGAAAAGGGAGGAGGAGCACCGCGGTCGGACTTTTGTCCACGCGACTCGAGCCAAGCGCCCGCCCGCCACCAGCCCCGATTTTGGATTGTAAAGGAGAGCACACCTCATTCGGCCGGCTTTGTTATGTAACTGTTCTCCACAGTGAGGGAAGCAGCTCGGCACCAGCGATACATTATTGATGTGGGAGTTTCCACATTTTCAGGTAGCCGTGGAAGGAAAAAAGGGTATTTTTGAGGGGTCATTGTTTCTGTTTGTGTCTGTCTGCATCCCACACAGATATGTAGGAGAGAGAAGAGAAACAAAGAGAAGAGTTCATCTGCTGAGCTGAATAAGTATAGTTTTCCATATATGGTATTGACCATCCTCAGGAGCTGATTATTTTGTGGAGTTTCTGCGGCTCTATTATAGCTTATGATTTTTAGGCGGAAAATCTTTTAAATTGCTGAAAAAGTTTAACCATATTATTTACATCAGAATCGTGATTAACGTGCATCTAACTGCATCAGAAACTGAAAAGCAGTTCAAACTCGATTTGTAGGCAGACTGCATGGTGGAGACAAGCTTTCAGCACTGTCAGGACAGTAACAATTAAAGATAAAATAGAACAATGGAAGTGTGATATTTAGAATTCTCCAGAAAAGACTGACACTGATTATCCGCATCCACATCTTTGGGCTACAGTTTAATTCTTCTTTTTCTATTTGTAACTGATGCACAGTATGTCAGATATTTACTGTCAGTACCAGGACAGCAAAGGCTTGATTCAACCACAACATATGGTAGGCTACAGATGCTTTTCATGGCAGACATTTTTAAATTGTATTTTAATTCCACTTAGAGGAAGTTCTTGTTTTATGCGTGTTAAACACCTAACCTGCATGCACAGGTGTGCTTCTTTGCACTACTTTAACAGACTGACTACCAGCGATGCACGAGCGAGTGTTTCTAAATGTTTGACTGGTGGGGCCATGGGGGCAAAGAGCATAGTTTGTAACTGAACCATCAGACCACAGCCGCAGAGTGGTCAAAAAGAAGCACTTTTAGGTCATGCAATATGCAAGCGGCACCGTGGGGTTTGTGCATCCGGCTTGTCTGGACACCGAGCTTGGGTGTCCAGCAGCAGGCCAAGCGTGTATGGCCATGCTCTGAGATCCCTCATGCCTCGAGGCGGACTCTGCGGAAAGAAAAAAAAAAGGGCTTGATGGGATGAGAATGGGGTTGTCAAGAGAGGGAGGAGTCTGGAGGGGAAAGGGTGTGCCTGCTGTAATGGGCTTGACCTGTATCCATGAGGACTGGAGACTGATTTAATGCGATGGTGCTCTCCCAGTTTTTTCCTCGGTATCGATTCCCCTGACGTGCAGCCTCATCATAGTGCCGAACACTGAGAAAAGGAGAAGATAGCTGGCTAACTGCAGCAGACAGGTGGACATTGTGTACTGACAACCTGAGTTACATCCTCATTAATAGCTTATGGGGTCAGTTTTTAAACCCTGCTGGATTTGTTGTATTTGTTTTCTTACACTGATATCGCTTAATATTGCAGCTTTTTGAGCAAGTTTGGATGTTTTCTGGCCTTTTAATTCCCCGTCTATATGTGTTTATCATGATCCTAACATGATGTTGTATCACCTTCGCAGCGTGTTGATTATATTCAAACATACACAATGTTTCACCCCTGCCTCTTTTCTGCTCTCACTCCTTGAATTGTAGTAAAAACAGCATCAATAATTAATGATCCAATTAATAGTTTACACTGGTTTTTATTGAGCCGTCAGAGTGATGGAGAGCCTGCTGGTAGTGAACCTCGCCATCGCTTGCACTCTGCCTTTCGACCTGAATCAGCACTTTGCGGGGCCTCGGAATCGGAGCGAAACAGCGGGGCTGGGCCCGGAGTGCTGATGCTCATAATTTATGGCCGTGATGAGTTTCCTGCTTTCTGAAAAACCACGCAGTGCCTTTCTGGGGATCGGCGCCCAGTTGTGGCGTGCCGCGGCTAATAAAGGGTTTCTGGGAAGGCGAGCGTTTGCACACGCTTCAGCGCCGGCATTGAGGCATTTGCTCTCTTTTTTGACAAGCATTGAGGTAGACTGAAGAGAGAGTCAGTGAAGGTTGAGGAATTAAACATGGAAGAAAGATGTCGTCGAAGGAAAAGAAAAATCTGAGACAGAGAGATGCCACTAATGTAAACCTTGATGCATCTCCATTTAATATATTTAAAGATGGATATATGCAAAGCTTGTGTCAGTCTATGGCAATGAACAAGGCAAGCTAGCTCATCTTTCTGATCTGTACTCACTGGAATATCATGACCAAATTAGGCAAGAGAGTTGTGAAGAGGGGGCCGTGCAACGCTCCAGACTGGGCTCTGATGTTGTGCTGCCTGTAGACGACCAGCTCGAGGGCAAAAGGGGTTAATCACCGCCCTCAGCTGTTGGTTGGGGGACATCCATGCTGTTTTTTTTTTTTATCAAAGAACATATTTAAATGCAAAAAAACATTTTCAGTCGCTCCCTCAGACTGACAGGCTGACAGTGATAGCAGTGGGAGAGGGAGATGGGGGGTAGGAGTGTGTTTTCTTTTATATTTAAATGAGTGGAAAATGTTGTTGAAAAGTCTTTTTTTAATTATTATTTTTACTAAAACAGATTTGCAGGGTAATGTCAAAACATCAAAAAGGAACAGTAATTAAGCTTAAACCCACCATTTAAAAAATGATCCAATGAGATTAGTGAATTAGGATTTTTCATTTGAATTCTATTTGTATTTATTATTAAGATTACATAAAGAATGATGCAGCCAAAGGTTCTGTAACAACATCTGTACATATGGAATAAAAAAAAAGAGGGCACTGAAGGGAAGCTCTGATTCACTCTGAGAAGTTGTCTGCCATCTAATGATGCGCTTTTACAGTCTACTTCTGGTTCCCGTAGCACAATATTAAGAAAGTTTTGACTATCAGATAATTATTGGATAGCCCGCAACCAAAAACAGGCTAAGATAGCTCTGGAATAAAAACAGATCCACCATTAAGTGGGGATGGATCAGTCCCTGGCCCATCTGACCGTGTTTATCCACAGAGATGCTATCTTTACACAGCAGTATTCCTCCTTGGATATCCTTTTTTCCCCATGCATCTTTAGCCTTTTATATGTTAGCCACTTATTGCACCCCTACCCCCCCCCCCCCCCCGAAAAACCAGATGCTGTCTATTTTTTATTGAGGTCAGAGTTCCCTCAGTTCTGTGTGCGAATATGTAGCCAGATGGTGCTTGAAGGAGGCCTGCCCCTGTATGGATCCATTAGATTCTACAGCTCTTTGCAGATGAAGTGAAGTGTGGGAAATGTGATGTACTCTATAAGACCCAAGGACTGTACAAGTGGAGAGTTTTGACATAACTTTACCAATGCCTGAAGCCCTGAGTCCATGATGCACTTTAAACAGTTCTAGATAGATATTGTACAACGTATGTCTTAAAAACCAAGGCTACTTTACATCCGGTTAGTCCTCACGATGACTGTAGTTTCTTTCTGCCAACATCGAAATGGATAAAAAAACACCGACACAACAGGAAAGTCCGAGAAGCTCAGAGGAGACTAGAAGTATAAGATCATAGATTTACACAGGTCAGCAATGCCTCTCGGAGCTCAGGTCATCTCCAAGATAAGAAAGATGGCCACAACTATCATTCACACCTTGGACTAAATCTGTTTGGATGGTCTGCAAAGGTAGGATTGCTTGTGCGTCCTCGAACTAGCTTGGAATATGAAGCTCCTTAGTTAATCTAGAAATCATTTTACAACAATGACATATAGGGTGAGACACGGGGTTGCTGCATATCATACTCTCCAGGTTTATCTTATCTCTTGAATACATATATTTATGTGTATATAATTCCGCTGAAATGTCAGGGCTGTAGGCACTTGTCTGTCTAGCTCAGACTGTACTTGTAGCAATCAGTCTCATCTTTAAAAGCACTCGGTGGTGCACTTTAGATAATGGTTAGTTAAGGCTGTGTTGCAGTTGCAATGCGTAGTTAAACACATCAGAGATCATCCCTGCTTTGTCCTACAGACGGAACTGCTGTAAAATAAGATCAGACATTTCTTTACAGAAAAGCCAAATGGTTGCCTACTCCTTGGAAATGGATATTTGGCTCCGGTGCCCATTTATTGTCACTTGTAATTAAGACCAATATGTATTAAAATATGCATTATCAGATTAGATCGTGATCCTAATCATTATGATTTTGGCATTGTAAAGCCACCTAAGATAACCCAAGTCAAAAACAATCTGCCGTGATTAAAAAATGATGATTGATGTGGTTGGGAACTCCCCCCAAAACGATGTTCACAATGTTCCAATGAAGGATAAGAATAGATTCTCTCTTTTTTTTCCTTCTATGTTTAATTTCAAATTTCAATTTCAAGAATGCCCAGAATTCTTGATATAGGTGGAACCGGCTGTCCTTCCTTTCTCGGGTGTCCTGTTGGCGTTGTGAAAGCAGAAATGATCCGTCTCATACTGCTGCCTGAGCTGCGTCTTTTCTTTCTCCACAGGGATTTTTTTTTTAGAGTGATCACCTTTTGAGTTTGGCCAGTGTGTGAGAGCGTGTGTGAGTGTGCATAAATGATAATCTGGATGTCCTGTCCCGTGCTGTCTATGTATTATGAGGGGGCGTGTACGTGTGGTTTGTGGTGTCCTCACTTGTCCCTCTCGCTGTCCTCTCTCGTGTATGTGCGCCCTCCCGCTTCCTCCCCCACCTTACAGGAGATTTGGATGGCCATTGGTGGGACCATGCATCATGGCATAGCAGCGAGGCTTCCCCAATGTCTTTGGTGAGACATGTGGAGCCCTGCCCTGACCCCCCTCCCCCTCCCTACCTTTTGCCCTTTAACTCCATCTCTCTCTCCCTCTCTCTGTCTCTCTCCTCCCCCCATCCCCCAGTCTCCCAGAGTCTGTTGTCATTTCATGGTTCCTTTGTTTTATTTACACCTTTGCATGTTGTTTTTTCTGTTTTTCTTTCTGTTTTTATCCCACACCTGTAGGGGACAGTCAAAGGGGAAAAAGAAAAACAATTGAGCAGGCATTTATGTCCGAGCCGACACACACCTTATCTGAGAGGCAAAAGAAAATGGTGCGCTTTGGGGGACACTCATTTGAAGAGGACTTGGCATGGTGTGAACCACAGGTTAAAGACTCGGGAGTTGATACGTGCAGTAGCACTACCCTAAACGAGGAGCATAGCCATAGTGAGAAGGTACTGAGACAATCTAGCCTGCATTTTATGATTATTATTATTTATGACCTACCCATTCAGTCTCTGTTTGCTTTCTGTCACTAAGTGTAAAAAGATTTTTTTTTTTTTTTAAGTTGTATAAATTGATTTCTCTTGCGATTTGGTTTCTTTTTGTTCAGTTACTTTTGGCTCCACCTTGCTCGGTGTTGCTGAAAAGGTCTTTTTGGGAACACTCTTTGCTTGCTATCTGTACTTGCTGTTTTGCTCCCCCAACAGAAGCCACACATCTGAAAGTAGTTGTTAAAAAAAAGAGCATCGACACACAACCTCTTTGTTTGTTATGGCACACAGGAATGTGGGTCTCTCCTAGTTGCATGCTCGTATCTCCTTCGTATATTGTGTTCTTGCTCTGCAGCAGTCCTGACTAGCACAATAGGAACACCTTTACTCAGACCCGTCCCCCTCACTCTAATGCCCTCCCCACCCCCCCCACCCCACCCCACCCACAGCATCCAGTCCAGACAGAACCTGCCCAACCTCCTTATCATTTCTACAGCCAAATCCCAACAGCACACAACACAGAACAGATTGGACTTGTTTTGCACAAAAGTCGAAAACATTTGTTTTTTCTTTTTTCCCTTTCCGTCCCTTCTTTTTGTTTGTGATTTCACCCTGTCTGTGTCTCATGGCTGTACTCTATAATTTCTGTGTTTCACCCTTTTTGATTTTCTAATCTGTCACCAAATGATATTTAGCATTTGGTCGCGTGTTGTTGTCTTTGTTGCCTTTCAGCCTCCCCACTTTTTATTTATTTAATTTGATTTTTTTTACTGTCTGCTTCCCCTTCACTCCTCCACTCGATGGTGGTTGTGTGTTTGTCCACAGTGAAGCATCGGAGTGAGACTCTGGTCTTCCTGCTCCCATTTGAAGAGCTGGTCTGAGGAGGAGTGTTGGGGCTGCTTGCTTATACTTTGCATGTGATGCTGCATGAAGCACACTCCACCCCTCACACCGGCGGGTTTACACAAGCTCTGGAAGTGGTTTCTTAGTCTTTCCTGATGAACTATATTTTGATGTTAAAATGCTCTACTCTTCATAGACACATTTATCCGACTAGTAACACTAGTAAACCCACAATAGTACATATTGTACAGGGTGACTCAAGTCACAAGACAGCCTTTTATTAATATAACTAAAGGGAAAATTACATGTCTGAATATCCCTGCAAGTAATTGGTATCTTACGAGCTATGCCCAAAAAATGGCCGCCATCTCGAAAGCCGCCATATTGGATCGAAGGCAAGTGTTTCACGTGAGAAGGTGGCCACGTAGCATATCAAAGAACACCAGACCTGTCTCAGAAATGGCTGTTGCCTGTGATGAACAGCCACTTAATGTGTTCAGCACCAGGAACAGCACTTTGAACGTGTCAGATAGCTGTGCATCAAAGGCATTGTTCCTAGATGTTGCTTGTGAACCACCATAGATATTGTAAATGTGATTGCAGTAATCAATTTGGCATTTCTGGTCTTCTTTAGTATGCTATGTGATCACGTTGCTTTGTTTTTTTTAATACCTGCCCTTGATCCATTATGGCATTTTTAAGTTAGTGGCCATGTTCAGGACATGACCTAACAAAAGCCCCCCTCACCCATTACTTGCTAAGGGTATTAAGATATGTCATTTTCCATTTTGTGTCAGAAATAAAAGGGTGCCTTTTGACTTTTGGCTCCCCCCCAGGGTAGAATTGAATATTAAAAGTGAGTCGTCTGCCATTTTAACATCAAAGCATTCTTTACAAATCAGCAGAGTTTGTGTGAACTATACTTTCCTAAGTAAATTATTACCTCCCCTCTTCACCACAGACAGTTGTTTGCTTTGGTCTGAACTGATCAAGTTAGAGTGGATAAGTGGCTAAACAAAAGGTGTATTGTTGCTCTGACCTTGTAGCACCCAGTTACATGGCAGCCATCCAAAGATGGGGATCGCCTAATAGGCCGCATCTTGCTCAACAAGCGCATGAAGGATGGAAGTGTGCCTCGAGACTCAGGAGCTCTGCTTGGTCTGAAGGTAAGCTCCTGATGCTTCTGACACTCTGGAACTATCTCTGGGTGCGAGACACACAATGATGCACTTGCTAGCTGAATATTCACCCACGCTGTCCCAGAATAGCATTTTAAACAGCCACATTGAACTGTTTCACATCGAAACGGTCTTTTTGATGAAAGACTTCAAATCACCATCTTATCGAGGAATTTTTTGGTGGATTTTCAAAGTTAAGCACACGCTGCTACTTTCAACTTTCAGCTTTAAAGTCAATAATGTCGTAATTAGCGGAATTTATTTTTTGTTTATCATTATTGTGCGCATTCTAATACAAATTTTCAATAATGACTTCATTATAGCAGGGGTAGGCACCAATGGACTTGGATTATAGTTTTCATTAATTTGAATTATCAGTGTTAATATGCAGCTCAAACGTATTAATGAGCTCCAATCAGCTGGTCAAAAGAAATGAAGTCATGACAGTCCTTGGTGTTTCTGCGTTCTACCTTCATATTCAATTAAAGCTTTACATTCTGTGCTTGTTGTGCCTCCTTCTTTTTCGAGCAGTGCAGCCTACTACTACAGTATGTCACTCTAATTCTATTAAAAAATTGAAGTCATTTTGTTCTCCCACCATAGTCACAACCTTGCTGAAGCAGAGCATTTTTTTTTCTCCCTCGCTGTAAACGTTTTGCTTCCCTTTGCACCACTGCATAAAGCCTGCCACGAGGAGAGAGAGCTAAGAGCAGCGAGATGGGGGGAAAAATCATTACTGATTGAATGAGCCTCCTGAAATGGCATGTTTGTGTCTGCTCAATGCTTCTGTGCATTTTCTGTCCGCTCAGCAGCCGCAGCCAACCAGCTCGGCAATCCGACCGGTCGGTCCATCAGTCAGGCTGCCAGCCTCGCCCTCACTGTCCATCTCTCTCTCTCATCTCCTCTGCAAGCCACACTCTCTGGCTCCTGCCTGTTACATAAAGCCATTTCATTTAGCAGAACCTCTCTAAGCTCCTTTGTATGTTAGCATTCAGCTGCCATTAAGAGGGATTTTTATTTGTATGATGCCAATGTAAGCTGAGCGCAGTGGAGTAGAGCAGCTCAGGACTGTACAGTACAGCCGTAGCCCGTGGCTGTGCACTGTTACAGAACCACACGGTCACACCAGAGTATGCCCCTGAGGACGAAAAGCGGAGCCGTGGAACCTTAGTAATTTTTTTTCTTTAAAAAAAAAAGAAAAAAGAAAGACATATGCTCCCTTTTTTCCATGGAACCTCTCCGTGTAATGGTTTTTATTCAGGACTCATATCTTCAGGCACAAGCTGAAGCTTGAGATCAAAAGGGCAATTTGAAAAAGGAGAAAAGAATGTCCTCTTTATTACATGTATGCGAGCTGTGTTGCTTATGTTGCATCTGTTTTTGCAGTGTATCAAGTCTGCGGTTCTTATGGCACACTTCAGCTTTGGTTTTCACAGATCGTTACCATGCTTAACTCTCTCTGCTTTGACAGGTGGTGGGAGGCAAGATGACAGAATCTGGCAGACTTTGTGCTTTCATCACCAAAGTGAGGAAAGGAAGTCTAGCAGACACTGTCGGACACCTCAGACCAGGTACTTGAAACATTTGCACTTTAGCTGGCAATCGGACAAACGGATTTGCTGGAATCCAACGTCGCTTTTCCAGCTGTGCTGTGTTTATCCTCCACTTTTAACGCTCTCATGAAATATCCCAATATCTCACGTTGTGTTTCTGCAGGTGACCAAGTGTTGGAGTGGAATGGGAGGCTTTTACAAGGAGCCACGTTTAAAGAAGTTTACAATATCATTTTAGAATCTAAGCCTGAGCCGCAGGTGGAGCTGGTGGTCTCACGGCCTATAGGGTGAGAGCTCAGTCAACTATTCTGGTGGGAAAGACCTGTGAGAGGCTGTTGCTGACAAACACTAGCCCTGACATAGAACTTGCGTCATATATCTAATGGAAGGATTGATTTATTCATTAGTAATAGGTGAGACCGGGACAATGACCTGTCTATTACCCACACTTATTTGTAGTGAAATTCAATTTGGGAAATGCTATTTTGACCCTAAAAAGAAACAAATATCTATAATATATCTATCAGCAGCGCTTGATAGATAGTCAACACATCAAACAACTAAGCATCGAGAAATGAACTTTTGCCTAGTAGGATCTGTTCTTTATAGATTTTTATAGGATTTGTCCTTTCATCTCAGGCACTTAAGTTCAATTTAATATGTTTGTCCTTAGACATCATGTATGTTTATAACTGCCAAGGAAAGATAGTTTGTCTTAGTTGGTTATGTTTCTTCTTTGACTCAGAATAACTATTTTTTTTATTTTTTACGGAATGGAAACTTTGAAAGCTTACATTAAAAAGAGTTGATGCTATATCAAGACCGGTGCTGAGGACGCTGTTAGAAGAATGAAGACTAATGTGATGCTTACAGTCATTAAAACACTGTGTATTCAGCGTTAGCTCCAATTGATCCACTCCATTCCTCTTCTTGTCTTTGCCACCCTGTTTTCTTTACTCTCTTTTTCATCTTTTTTTTCTTTTTCAGAGATATTCCAAGAATACCGGATAGCACACATGCACAACTGGAGTCAAGTGAGTAATTGCTTTCATTTTTTAGTTATTTTATCCTGTTGATCGACCTAAAAACATTTCAAGATTTCTCACGCCTTGTTTTATTTTTTTTTATTTTATTGAAAGTTGAAATCAAAACCATGAGCCATAGCTTACCTTAATGTGTGACTGTGATCTGTCAGGTTCGAGTTCTTTTGAGTCTCAGAAGATGGATCGCCCCTCAATCTCTGTCACGTCTCCCATGAGTCCCAGTATGCTGAGGGACGCCCCCCAGTACCTGTCAGGACAGCTCTCAGTAAGTAACCGCAACCTGATAAACAGATAAAAGCTCTGAGGGACCAATTTGTTTGAATCTGAGAACAATTTAACCACGGTTGAGATCTGGGGATATATATCAGCAGCAAAAACTATGATAATATCGATAGAAATTATTAGAATTTAAGTCCCTATACATGCTAGATCTTCTTTGCTCTGCGTTTACCACTGAGACTGTTTAACTGGCACTTTGCCAACCCAGCAAAGAACTGTAGATCGAGTTACGTTGCATGTTGTCCATTATCAAGTCTGAAAACCCTCCTGGGGTAAATGGTTAAAGGGCTGTGTTAAGGCAGAAAGATAAATCAACGGTTAAATTCAGGATCAAAATGGGAAACGTCTTTAGCAGAGGGGTAACACCTCTAATGCATGCGTTTTTCTCCCATATTTATGAGAATTGGTTGGGTTTGACTGAAGTCGGGTTAGAAAAAAGTAAAAAAAAAAAAAAAGCTAATCCAGCTCTTACATGAGTCACGGATGAGTTTCAGTGCCTGAAGATTGATGACTGATTTCAATACATACGAAAGCAGTCTTCAGTTGGCGGTTTTATAGTTAACAGCTCTGTTTAACGTCACTGTGATGCAGCCTTTTAAGTAGAAGAGAAAGAGTGCCAGAGATGAATGGGAGATATAACTGTAGACTGGAATGACTTGCCGATCGGGCCTATGCAGACCAAGAGTAGGACAGATAAGGCTTAGGTGACCTTTAAAAGAGCAGAGAAAAGAAAAACGTTAAAGGTGAGAGAGGGAACTAGGAAGTAACCTCTCATGTGAATTTACAAAGTGTTTGTTGTCATTTTGAGTGTATTGTGATTTTTTTGTCTTGTGGATTTTTCATTTTATTGCATTTTTTTTCCTTTTTCCCCCCTCCTTTTTGCTGTTTAATTTTGCTTATGCAGAGCCAAAGCCTTAGTAGACGAACAACGCCTTTTCCCCCTAGGGTCCAGGTAATGGGCCCTATCTGAAGGGCACAAAGTGTGTTTGGTTTTTTCGCATCAATTATTGACTGGGTTTTTCTTTTTCTTTTTTTGTTTTTTTTGTTCATTCTTTATTTCTTTGGTTGCATACTTTTAAAAAATGCATTGTGGGGGAAATGGTAGCTTTAAGTTTCCCTGTTAGTGCAGTGCATTGTGTCATTATCTTCTGTGTGATTCCTTGCTGTCACTGCTATGATTAAAACTCCTATTACACATTTCAACCAGTTCACATCATTATCCTCAAGAACAGAAGTGCATGTTCAACTAATGTAAACGCACTTTAAGAGAAACTCTCACATTACCAACCTGGTTTTTCTTTTTGGTCTATTTTCTTTGTTTTTCTCAATTTTTTTAATCTGTTAACCTTATGCTTGATTTCTTGATTTTTTTTTCTCTAGAGTATAGTAGGAGTTGGTATCTGTTAGATTTTAAAGGACCAAGGACTTGGTACTTTTCTGCCACATTGTAACACGAACCCCATTCATAGATAAGTCAAACTACACATTGGTATGCAGAAGAATTCCTCCACGCATGAGTTGATGTAATGCTAATTAGTAAAACGCAGCTAATGGCTGTGTGGTTTTATGTTGCAGGGAAAAGACACCAAGTTCACCGTCCTGTCTGGGAATCTAATTCCCAAATGCATTATCTGCTCCCAATGAGAGCTGACGAATAAGCAAATTGTACCTGCCAAATCACAGCTTCACTAAGATTAAATGTTCTCCTTCACTGACAGGGCATCTTTTTTCATGATTTATTTATTTCCGAGGAATCGAGGAAGATTCCCTTTGTGTGAATCAGTATTATCGATTTAGTTATCTTTCAACTGTAATGTTCCCGAATATCTCATTTACATTTGTGTTTTTGGGAAAAGGCAATTGTTAAGGGTGGTGTCAAAACCAGGGAATGTGGTTCAAATATGAATAAGGAATGTAGACGACAACAAAAGAGTGATTTTTAAATTCCAACAGACGAAATGATGAGGTGTAAGTTTTTGTATAAGTAAATTCATTAAGAGAGCATTTCACATAATCACGTTGCGATAATCACACATTATGCAAAATACACAATTTAATACAAGACACAATTATCCTAGAATTTTTTTAAGCTGAGTCATTATTTGGTACAATTTGTTTAGCTGTAAGCCCCCTGCTGTCTCTTTCTGCCGCTGTTTTACTGCATGTATAGCTTGTAGTTGTAAACAGTGCAGGCCCTCTTCATAATCACATTTTTAATGAAGTATGGACAAGAACTTAGAAGTTTTACTTCTCATTTCATCCTGTTTCTTTAAGGCTTTAGTGAGACTTTTTTTTCCTTCTAAGTGGCTTTTAACTTGAGTCCATACTTCCCTTTTAGCTTGAACCGTATTTGAAACCTTTCATAACAGCATGATTGATCTATATTAATTCCCAATGTGCATCTTAGAGAAATATGTTTGTTTGCACATTATGAACTGAAGAGCACATCAGCTGTAGTGTTACATTTTTAAAGACAAATTGTACTATTCCATTCAATGAATTCTATGAATTCCTGCACAGGAAAATTCTAAGACAGATATGAACGCACATGAGCTAAACATTAGCAGCACCTTTGACCTCAGTGAGATCAAATAAATACAGATGTATGGAAACTGACAACACTATGAAATGAAAAAAAAACACAACCACAACATCAGAAAGTGAATTCACTACAAGAGGGTTTTGGCCATTTTTGCGTTATCGCACAACCTTAGCACGAATATGCAGGAGAAGTGTGTTTTCAAACCACACGTTGGTCCCGAGCTGTGCCTGAGCAGGTTGTCTCTGCTTTGCCCCCCTAGGTCAAACTGTGGTACGACAAAGTGGGCCATCAGCTAATCGTCACCATCCTGGGCGCCAAAGACCTGCCACCCAGGGAAGATGGCCGACCCAGGAACCCTTACGTCAAAATCTACTTCCTCCCTGACAGAAGGTAAGAATAGGAGCCATTATTTTAATCGCTCACTTAACCCAGCTCTGTTAGTTGATGTCATTCAAAGATTCCAACACCAACTATTGGTTTAGTTGATGTGCAGTTTTCTATAAAATAGATTTGAAAATGTAGATATAACAAGTTCTTTGGTTGAGATTGGATTTTTCCATATGATATAGAATTGGATATACTCAGTTTAGGATGTCATGTACTCATAATCAGCATGCAGTGGTACTGTGCCCTGTGCTGTGTTGTGTTTGGGATCTGTTGTACTCGTGGTTCTTCACTATCAAGGTTGTAAATAAAAACAGTTTGAATTATTGTTCCTCCAGCGACAAAAGCAAGAGGAGAACAAAAACAGTAAAGAAATCCTTAGAGCCCAAGTGGAATCAGACCTTTATGTATTCGCCGGTGCACCGGCGGGAGTTTCGAGAGCGCATGCTGGAGATCACATTGTGGGACCAAGCCCGGGTCAGGGAGGAGGAGAGCGAATTCTTGGGAGAGGTAAGAAAAATCGAACCCTATCCGAGAGGATCACTGACTGAGAGTATCTCAGCTTGTTTTCTTAGATGGGATTAAAGCCATTGAAGTCCAACTAAAGCAGAAGTGAATATGCATTGTTTGTGACATCCCAACAAAATATCTTATTACCCAGTTAGGTAAACATGATGATATATCTCAGACAGTGCATCACAGAAGTCAAACATTTTAACAGTCAAAGTGATTATTTATCAAATCAGATAAATGTTTCAGTCCCCCTCCAGCCATGGACTAAGTTACCAATACTGTTAACTCTTGTATCTCATCAACCTCATACATCATAAACTGCCACTGCAGTGTCCGTTCATCCAGATGAGGGTTCATTAAGTTAAGATGTGTGTGTTTACTATCCTTTTGTCGGTCGCTTCACTTGTTTGTTTATGTTTTCACTTATGAAAATTCATACAATAACAGTTACGGTTCCCTCTTGTAAAAGCTTGCAGAAAAACACAGCCCATGGTTCCAAGACAAAGAATGATCTTAAAAATGGTCTAAAACAGTCTAAATTTTCAGATGAGACTTTTTGGAAAGTGACACGGTTTAGTTTTATTTATCATGGGTTGCCTGACATACATGGTACAGATGTTTTAATTTTATTTCTTTGCGTTTCTGCTCTGTAAAGGTATTCCCAATTCAGAAATGCAGATACAATTGGGTGGCAGAATTTAGAATACCGTAAATAGATGTTAAAGCATCCTGGGCTGGCTTTCGTTGTACAGTTTATATAAACAGAAGGGGTTTGTTTGGGCTTCACATTCTCTGTAATAGCTCTAGCGATGTGACGGCACAAGTGAGTATTTCATGCCATAACTCCATCTCTGATAGCAACCATGTTACACGCGTGCTATAACCCGTGGCCGTGGCATGGCCTTCTTCCTCTGGCAGATCCTTATTGAACTGGAGACGGCTCTTCTGGATGATGAGCCTCACTGGTACAAGCTACAAACACACGATGTGTCCTCCCTTCCACTCCCACGTGCCTCTCCGAATGCACAGCGCAGGCAGCTCCATGGAGAGAGTCCAACAAGGCGGCTGCAGAGTAAGTAACACACTTAATGCAGGCTTCTGGTCCGGAAATTGAGCAAAAGAAAAAAAATCACAGGATTCAATGCTCCAAAGAAGTTGTTTATGTTAATAGATTGCAAAAAAGTATCTATAATTTTCAGCTTAGCATTTTTTTAAATTTACTTACTAGGTGTCCCTTTCTTTTATTTATCAAGGATACATTTTGCTCTACATTTTGTCATATTGAATTTTGTTCCTACTTTGCTTTATTGAAGGTTCAAATGTAGATTTTTTTTTTCTTTTGTTGTTATCCATGTCACATCAACCTTATGACTTCTACTTTCACAGACAAAGAGTCATATTACAACTCAGGTAAAGGCCCCTGCACTCCCAGGCATTGCTGTCCTATGGACCATCTGAGTGTTTTTCTCTCCTCTGCAAAGATACATCATTGTGCTTTTATATTCTACCCCTTTGTTCCCACGATGTCTGCATCTTTCTGCTGCCCCTTTATGGATTTCATTTATGATTTCAATTTTATAACATGTGTTTGGAATCCAAATAGGGTAGCAAAAATGATGCGCACGCAAGGGAAACAGAGATTTAGGACAGAGTCCTCTTTCTCTGTATTCACCTATGATCTGTCTCACAATCCCTCCCTTCTACCCACAACCATATCTTTAAAATAGCCATGCTTGGTCCTTATCCCAGAGTCGTATTTTGAAATGAAAACTATCCTCCAGTCTTAACTGGGATCACCTGACCACCTACCTCTGTTTGTTATTCGGCCCTTTATGAAGTTTACCCCTTTAAAGCTGCTTACAGTGCTTTTGGAACCCTATTTTGCCCACTCTGCTTTGCTTGTATTTGTGGTCCTTGACCTTAAATGATTTCTAAACATTCTGATTGCAAGTGACTGTGCAATACTTCACGTTAGTTTTTTTTATTCTAATCTTCCAACACATAGGTGGTGCATATCAATATGAAATAATCTTAGTCTATGAATCCTCAAAGGGAAATCGCATATCTACAACCTGAATTATTAAGGAAAATCTTGATAAAAGATATTGATCTAATGAGATTAAAAAAAAGGTTGATGAAAGCTGGGGATGAACTATTGATGTCCTATACAGCATGGGCAGGTAACAGTTGAACTAGGAGGTGGAAAGGCAGCCACTGCTAGCTAATCAGAAGAGCTCAGAGAGGCTCCTTTTCAGTAATATGTTAAAAAAAAGGGCTGCAGGCCCTGCATCACTTACTGTTACAACCACTACTAAATAATAATAACAGGAAATGGGAGAACGATCAGCATACAAAAGCCCATCAAAGCTGCTCATCTAGCACTTTTCCTGCCTCTGTCGCATTCTGTGACCTGGAACTGGTTCAGACACCGAGATACACGGGAACCACTCCTCTACACGCTTCCCTCTGCTAGATAATTAAGGCTCGCTCACCGCCACAGCCCCCACGCCCTCCGGCAGGACACTTCTCCGAGCATGTGCGTCGGGGAGAGGTGAAAGAGCCGTAAAAGAGATCTCTCTGTCAACTGAAAATGAGAGATTGGGAGTGGCACTGCCAGAGAGCAGCACTTGTTATTTCTGAAAAAGCATGCATGTCCGCTTGATTTAAGTTGACTGAGTAGCGAAGATGGTAGGATAAGGGTGGGGGGGGGGGCGGGTACAGTGATGAGGCTCTTCTTCATCGGGGTGATGAAGAGAGGGGTTGCATAGCCATATCACTCCTCACTTGTGCACCGAATGAGCGACAGTAGGACAGTTCACAAGGAAACGTCTGCATTATTTTTTTTGATTGTCTGGAGAAGTTGAGGGAAATGCTGCATTTTTTTGTGTCGGTTTGAGCCTTCACTCTAACCAGTGCAGATTACCCAGCAGAGCACGATGTGCCCAACTGGTTAAATCCACAAACCAGGGTATCAAAATAACTTTTACCCCCTTCTTTCCTGTCTCTCTCTCTCTCTCTTTTTCTTTCGCCCCCTCTCAAAGGGTCCCAGAGGATAAGTGACAGCGAGATATCGGACTATGATTGTGAGGACGGTGTTGGGGTTATTACAGGTATTTAAAAACAAACGGCCACGGCTGAACACACACAGAGCATCATCACCAGTCACGTGCTTCGTAGAGCCGAACAACTTAAAAACTCACTTATGTGTCCAATTCGGAGGACGAAATAGGGAAGCAGAGTGAGATAGTACCAAGCATTAGTCTTCCACTGCACTACAAGCTGCTGTACTGCTGTTCTTCCCACACTGCACATCTCAACAGGAGAAGTGAAGAGAAAGTCATAAAGACATAGAAGTAGTTGCAATATGCCAGCATAATCCTATTAAATGTCAGGAAAATTATGCTAAAAAGGGTTTGAATAAAAAGTTACTCTTATTCGTAGACGTTGAAGACAGCTTGATAAAAACATTCACTTTTCTTTGGCCTGCGGTGTACTCTTTTTGTTCTTTCAATCGAAAAGCACAGAATGTATGTTGAGGATGTGATCAATTTTTAACATATAGGCCGCTGTAAAGGGGGGGTATATGGAGAACATAGAGGAAAACATTGCAGAGTAGATACAGGTACTGTAGTAAAGTTCCACTTTCACAGAGGTGGAGATGCTAATGCTACTATACGTGTGGGGAATCCTCCTCTGGCCTTTTTAAAATTCTCATCAGACCCTCTTAGCTTCACTATGCCAATCCCATTTGCTTCAAAGTGAATGGAACACCCCTTTGCTCAGCCCTAGTAGCACCCGCTCCCCCACTCAGCCCCCAAAACTGCACCGTTTGCATTCATCTTCTGTCACACCTTTTTCAAAGAGAAAGCAGTTTTTCTTCTGTACCCACAACGCAAACTTGGATTATTTTCATTTCCCGTTTTCTCACAGCACACCTAGCATTTAATAAAAAAAGAAAGTCAAAGTGGGAATGAGTGTTTTCCTCATTTAGTTTTAATTGTCAGTTCCATTGATGAAGCTCGTGCAGCTGCTTCCTTTTAGTCGATCCTGTTAATTAATTTTCAGCAAAGGTTTTTTTATTTTTATGTGTGCTTAACCAAAGCATAACTAATGTATGATGCAGCTTGAAAGTTTTTAATCAAACTGCAACACAGCTGATGGGTCTGCTATGCAAAATTTTAAAACATGGAAGTCTATATTCATTTTTGATTTCTATACGTTTTGAGCTTTTTCGTACTTTATAAAAAGTCAAAAGGGTAGAGTTTATTAGAACTTATTTACAATCATTTCAAACCCTTTGAAATAGGGATTCATGCTGAAATATTTAAATAGATTTATTCAATCACTACTTTTCCCAACTACTTCCATGAAAGAGAGACTTGTATTGTATTACTATGCCAGAGTTTTTTAAGTCCACATTTCCTTAGCTTTCCCTCCTATTTTGCCCACCGTTCCTGGTTTTGAAACTTTTTATTCAGGCTTTTCTTTAACTTCCTTTAATGTGCTATACACTCTATTGCATATCAATCAGCTTTAATAGTCCTAAGCATTGACCTTAACCATGGCTCCTAGCCACGTTTGATTATCGGTTAATGAACTCTTTCAAGTCTAATGAACTAATCAGTCTAGCAGAGAAAATTCATTATAATGCTACAGATTTTTAAAAAAGGCTATTTTCATGTTTAATGTCCAAAGTTAACATAGCAGATGAATTGCACTTTTAACAAAAGCAAGTTCCCATTTTTAGAATGTAGAGACTCAGCATTTTGAAAAGAGGGAATCTATCACCTGTGCGAAGTGACATTTGCTGTAAGTTTTAAATAGTTTAGTTAGTTTCCTCTAACTTTTTACTCATCTGTTTATGATTAAGTGCCCTCTCCCTGCTGATCTTGTTACCCCCTCTGTACCCCCTTTAATCCATTCTTGTTTTTGCAGACTATAGGCCAAATGGAAGAGACTTCCAGAGCTCCACGTTGTCTGTCCCTGAGCAGGTCATGTCATCTAACCACTGCTCTCGGTCTGCTGATATAAATCGAGCACGGTCACGCTCTCCCAGTGTTCCTCCACCCTCCAGGTAACCTGAGTTAACCAACAGGCTGACATGTAAAATCAGTGCACATGAAGTATTTCTTTTCTTTGATCTTTATAGGTGTTTGTTGTGATCATGTTCATGCACCAATTGTTCTGTATTCTTTTAACTGTTCCAGGCCAAACTTTCTTGTATCTCATATAAGTACCGGTACTCATAAATTTAATTGGTCTACTGTTTTTGGAGCCTTTAAAAAAACATGTATCAGCCGTACCGTATTATAGGCCGCAGTGTTCAAAGTGTGGGGAAAAAAGTAGCGGCTTATAGTCCGGAATTAACGGTAATTTAGTGTTACATTGCTTAGAATCATGGCGAAAAATCTTAATTGAGACATAATATGAAGCATTATCGTCTGGCTCCTCTGACTTTTTCAGTCAGACATGAAACCACATGCTTCATGAACAGTAGAGGGCAGCTCATGGTATTCAAACATGTGAGGTGCAGTCCATTTGTGCCCCGATACGACTTTTGACCTCAGACCTAACCCTAATGGTGAACACAGGCATATAAACAAATTCTGATAGACAAGTGAGAGCTGAGGTGTCTCCATACAAATGCGAAGACCATTCACCATTTGCCTTGAAATTTTCAAAACTGATTTGTTGGATTTTTTTTTTCTCTTGCTTTCCCTCCTCTCTGCAGGGATATTCTAAATTTCATTTAGTGATAAAGACTCTCTCATGAAACTCATTCCCTCAATCTCGAATTATTATAACAGAATATCTTTCATTGCTTAAAATAAAACAACTGAAAGCGTCCGTGTAAAAGTGTGAGTCCTGAAGGTTAAAATCTCTGTTGCAGCTTCATGGATGTATCTGAGAAGTAAAGGCCTGGATATGACTGCATTGCCTAGAGTGAAATAATCAATACTTTCTTTTTTTTCCATTCTAGAAATCAGGTGGTTGAAATTATGCAGAAAACATTTGGAGCCAATGTTATTAATGCTGAGTAATGCATAAAATATCGACTTGTCTTTCACTATCGTTATGGAAGAAGTGGTCAAGGAAAAGTGGTCAGTCATCCTCCATCAGCACTTATTTTCTGTAAGGGTTGGAAAATGTAGCTCTAAGAGTCCAATCAAAGCCTTGGCAGTGCCAGGCCGCAGCTACTTTCCCCCGTCCAATTAACTTTATTTGATATTTCTGAGGCTTGGTCTAAATCAGTGTCAGATGCAAAAAATGCACTTACCTAAATTGTCTTGGACAGTGCTTGCTGTGTCTTTTTCATCCGCCTTAATTAACAATATCTGGTTATTTATTGAAAACTGTTGAAAATGACACAGGAAATGAGTTAGAGTGAATTTGGCATCGTCCCAGTCCACTTAAACCACTAAATAGATTCCCCTACTGGATTTGTATTGCTTGGTCTTCAGTTTATTTCAATTTTGGTACATTTTAAGGACGCATATTTCTCCACCTTTTGATTCTGTTTTGTTTTTAAAAGACAAAATCTTCAAGGTCACAGCGATGTCTGAAGTTATGGAATCATCAGGTAGATTTGTTTGGCGAGTGTAATTGTGTTTTTCTCTCAGTATTACTTCCATCTGTTTAGATGTTAAAGTGAAGGAGAAATACTCTGTCACAGTTCCTATCTGCCATGTCTGTATTCTTCTTTGAAAACAGTTACATCAACCTTCCCTTTGAGCTCTCTCAGCCCTTTTGCATCCTGTGTCTTTGAGAAATCTTCTGGTCGCCTGCTTTCCTCACCTCTCAAGTCTCCATCTGTCTGCCTATGATTGTGTCTATCTCCAGTCTCCTGCCTCTTTCGTTCTGCTCTCCACTTCTCTCGGTCCTTCCTCTTTGCCATCTCAGATCCATCTCTATCTTTTTTCCCCCCTCTCATGTGTTTGCAGCCATTTTCTCACCCTACCTCGAACCAGACATACTCAGCCTATTGATGACCATCAAAAGGACAGCAGGTAGACTTGTACCTGAGCTTGCATGAAGCCCCATCTCTACACCTCCTCTCTCCACCCCCACACTCCCGTTGTACCAAACCCACAAATCCGTTCTGTTGTGGAAGAAAGCTTCTGTGTAATTGTCGAGCACATGGCACTGACACTTTGACATGTATTTTCTCACTGGTCGTTTACTAAATTCAGACCTTTTTTCTGCACTAGGTAAAATGATGCTGAATCAGTAGAGCTAAATTTAGTGTCTTGATTGTTTGCGAATCCATTAATGAGGTCATTTCATATTTACTTGTCCAATATCAGTGTCATGAGTGTTGTCGTGATGTGTGGCTGCATATATTTTTGCAGCAGAAGTTTGAAAACACATACACAACATACTTTTAAGAAGTAGCTTATGTTGAGCATATTCCACACCATACAATGAAATTTATCTATCACACATATCACTCTTTTACAGTGTTCTCATTATATGAACAATTTCTTCATCCACTCCTGTGTGTGCAAATGTGAACTGTGGATAAGGAAAGTTGCCTTTAGTACATTCTACCAAAAGAGTGACCGGGACTTCTGTACACAGATGAAGGGCTCAATGGTTGGAAAGTGTTGTCCAGCAGAGGGGGTTCACTCTATAATCACGGGGTTACATTAAAAATAGAAAGGAGCATTTGGATTAACCTTAAGCTTCTGAGTAATGTTTGTAACAGCTGCTTTCATGGCAGGTTGCTCTATTTGTGTTGTCCCCATTTTGAGGTGGAGATAAGAATGACCAGTTCTGATATCTTTTTGCCAGCCGCAATCATCGCGTATACCCAATCTGCAGAGAGGAAGCAGTCAGGTTACTGCGTTCCACTAGGATGTCCCGTGCCTTTTCAGAGGGCGCCTACTCCTCCGACTATGACTATGAGAGGTATTGAAATGCACTGATGCCACATCCGTGCATCCGCCATCTTGTGGTCTCTCAAAGTTGTCCCCCGTTCGTCTTTAATTTAACTGTTGTCATGCTTGTGATGACAGAAAAGGATATCCTATCCGATATCTGTTTTTGTTCAGAGGTCATCACAGCTCTGAAGTTGTGTAAATGTACACTAATGGTACACAACTTCCTCTGTATGTTGAGGCTCAGAGCTATTTGTGTTGCTGATGTATCAGCTGTATGTATACTTTTTATGGAGTAAAACAGTGGCCAGTACTTGACTGTCCCTTTGTTGATGTTGTTTATCTTCACATGCACATTGTTAATATGTGGTGTGTGATCCTTAGTGTTGTCTTTTCTTACATGCTAGAGGCAGCTGCTTTTTACTCATTCATTGCATCTCTGATGCATATTGTTAAGGGCTACACAGTAACTTTGCCAATTCTGTGTTTGCCCTTAGGATTCTTTTGTCCCTTCAGAATGGGCTGCATTTCCATTCTAAGCACCCATTCAAAGAAAGCCCGGCTGACACCGATCCATTTTTAGGAACCCTCGGCAGTGTCCTGATGCACCAATGTCAAGAAAGAATATCCTAATACAGATAAATGCCGCACTGTAAATGGTTCCAGTCTCCGCCTTCGGCTGTCAGGCCTTTTGTCAGGAAGAACATGCTTTTTAAGTTATCTGTCCCCTCTTCAAGAGAAGAAAAGTGATGAATCGGCCTCTCGGAGGCTGTTTCAAAAACTGACCCCAAAGGCCCAGTTTTTCACAACTTCAGGCCCAACATGGCCAGAGAAACTGTTCACCAGTCTATCATTACTATGGAAAGTGGCTAGTTAAGGAAAAAACTTTGTATCTAGTAGAGGTGCATATATTTCCCACATAGTGAAAACATAAGTATCTCACATATGGGCTTAGGATAAGATTTTTCACACTAACTGATTCACATCACACGCCGTCCCCATGAATGTTGCAATTTTGGATTACCTTCAAATAAGCGTGTTTATTAAAAAACAGGAAATTACAGAATTTTTGTGCTTCATAACACAGCAAATATAGAGATTTTTTTCCAACTTTTCAAGTCCATTCAAAGTTTGTCAGTGATATAGGTTATTTGCCATATTTACTCATGTCTCTGATAGTTGTAACATGTTTAAAAGCTGTCATTCTCAGCCATGGTGTTAAGTCCTATTACCTAGCCATAAATGGGATACAGTCTTAAATACTTCAGTCTAAATACAGTCCTGTTGTACTGACGAAAGCACCAATTATTTCATCTTATTTGCCATTGCCTCTGTTAGTTGAATGCACATTTACTTATTCTACATGCCCTGTCACCAGATAAGAGTTCAGATTTCCTGGGGGATTTTTTTTTAAATTAGTTTTTTTTCTGTTTCTCTCTAAAAATATTTAAATGCATATCAGGTATTATTTATTGGTGGTGGTCGGCATCGCCTGTAGGAAATGTGGTTGTTTTTGCGGCACAAAAAATCAGGTGGTTTTAGATGTTTTTGCTGCGGAGTGAAGCGTGCAGTGGACTGGACAGCTGAAATGTGATTCAAATGCTGCGCAGATGCGCTCACTTGGTGCTCTGCTGCCAATCCATCCATCAAGCCATTTTCTATTCCCGCTTAATCCAATTCACACAGGGGAGCTGGAGACTATTCCAGCTGCCATTGGCAAGAGGTGGAGTACAACCTTGAGGGGTTGCCAGTCTGTCACAGGGCCACACAGAGACAAATGAGAGAAACTCACACTGCTTTCAAATGGCTGGAGGAAGTCCGTGTTCCAGTAGAGAACCACTGCTGCCAGCCCGATACTGAAAATCTAACTTTAGGGTGTGTACAGGATCTGTTGTTTACTGATGTTTTTTTCACAATCAATATAGAACTTTGTGAACTGATGTAATTACACCCTCAGCATATAAATTAAGTTTTGACTTGATACCCTTGGTATGTAATTAGTCAAAAGTTATCCAATCATGAATATTTAAGAGTACCATCTACTCTTTACATGGATAAGTTGCGTCTGTTTGCATCCTGGAAGACAAAGAGCAGTAACTGAATACAGGCAAACAAATAAACGGGGACAAACCATCGTTATTATGAAGAATATTACTTTTCCAATCAAAGGAAACTAACTGTTTTAATTTATTTCATCCTGAGAAAATTGAGGAAGAAGGCCTCTTTGAAACTCTTCATCCATAAACTACTACATCTGATACTCTTGGTCAATTTGTTTGATATAAAAAAGGACATCTCCTCTACTGGACAAATTTCATGCCACGGGGTAACAAACACTAAAGTTTTAACACGACCAGAAAACAGAAAAGACTACCATTTCCGCCATTCAAAACTAATTCATGAAACCTGTGGTTTCATGAATTAGTAGATATTAGGATATTTGGGGTCACTTTGCCCTGTTACAGGTGGTTTCTCATGCAATTTTAGTCTGTAGAGGCCAGCGTGATCCCTACGTTTGACAAAAAACTGATGGTTTTTCAAGATTTTTGTCACTGTTTTTATATGATATATATTATATTATCATGAAACAAGAAAGAAATAGAATTTTAATCCCTGTTAATGTTACAGCACGGAAAAAGCACCAAACAATGTGCATGCTTGAACCCCTTCCACTTGTCAATTCTCCATATCTTAAAAAGAAATCTGTAAAACCTTTGCACTAGTTTGATTTGTGTTGTTCTTTAATGACACACCCCTCACCCCTTTCTTTTTTGTCTGCTGTGGTTAAAGAAAAATTGTACAGTCAAGTGTTTTTCTGTGTGTGAAAAACTTCACCTGATTTTTTTTCCTTTAGCTCTTTAGGTCAGCAGTACTCTCCCTCATCCTCACTGTGCCAAAACCATAACTTACGGGTATTTTTTTTAAAGAACACAATAGATGCATCAAGCCAAAATACATTCAACGCCACACATTGCCGTTTCCTCACATTTCACTCTTCCTCAGACAAAATGACACCAAGCAGCCCATTTAGCTAGAAAATCCCGGGCAAAGTTGTGATGTTATACGCTCAGCGTAACGAAATCCATGTAAGCTGAGCAAGTCAAAGATGATTTAAAGTTTAATTCAAGTCATTTTCAACTATACATATTATCCAGTATATTTTATTTTAATTGAAATGTAGGTGTTTTCTGTTTTTTTCTCCAGCTGACTTTATTCTCTTATAAATTTGAAAGACCCATATATTCAGTTTGCATAATAGACTCAATTTTCTGCAGATCAAATATACTTTGAAAATAGTGTGTGGAATATATCTAATAGGTAATTGGTTAGGTCACTGTCAGCAAGAATACACTTCAGGCCCTTAAACACACACACATCATGGGGTTTTGAAGGTGAAGCGATTTTATTTGCCCTCCACACTGTCCATCCTGCCAGCCTAATGTCCCTGCCCAGCTGGAGTCCCACTGAGTGCCTGCCTGTCTCTTAACAACCTCTGTAGGAACCACGGAGCCATGGATAGACACGAGTATCACAACAGGTCCCGCTCTGCAGACCAGCGGCCCACTATAGAGCGCCTTACATCCCGCTCGCGCTCGACCGAACGCCCCCACGACTCTTCGCTCATGAGGTCGATGCCGTCCCTGCCATCTGGGAGGTCTGCACCCCCCTCACCTGCCATGACGAGGTGTGACCCAGACTGGAGAGGCTAACCAACCTAACAGCAGCCTGAAGTTTTAGTTGTACAGTCATTTCCCCGGGCAGCAGCCACACTGGAGGGAGAAATAATTCAAACCTCTTTGCGAAAATATTGAAAATAATGTCCAAATATCCCGCTTAATGTATTATATTTGATGTCGAGGTTGTTGCAGTGCATTTGCTTAGTTAGCTTTTCGTAGCTAGGTAAGTTTATTCAACTATTTGCTCAGTGTACCCAAATGGCTCTTCGCTTGTCCCTAAAACGGAGCTAAGAACATGCCCAGTGCCCACTTTCAAAGCCTATTTCAGTGAAGTTGAGATGTGAAGGAAATCAGAAAGTAATCATTAGAAAATCTTGTTCAGCCCATATTTGATTCAGCACCCTTCAATGTTTTATTGTATTGCTATATGAGGCCTGCTACATGTTCTGGAAAAAGCAGGGACGGGGACAGCAAACAAGTGCAAAAGTTGAGGGACGTTAGAGAAACAAAACACCTGTTTGGAACCCTGCTCAAGTAAACTGGTTGTTTGATTGTTGCATTTCTCTGCAAATGAGAAACGGGGATATCCAAACCAGTGGTCCTTTTTTACCACTGCTTCCTAGAAATTATTTCAGCCTCCGGAGCTGCGATACATCTCTAAAATGTTTGCACAGCTAAAACCTCTATAGAGTAAACAGACCCAGTCCCACGAGCCCCCCCCCCCTCCTCCGTGGCCTGACTAACTCAGTGCATTTCTCCCTATGTGCAGAGACAGAGGCACATGTATAACACTCACCTGCCTTCACCCTGCCAGTGCACTGCTACCCTACCTCACCTCACCTCACCCCATAACCGCTCCCTCACACGTACCCCCCCCCCCCCCCCAGCCACTTTCTGTATTGTCCCTTCGAGCACTACTGGATGTGCTGTTTTTTCTTCTTTTTTTTTCCCCTTATATCCCAGGCGCAATGATTCTGACTCTGTAGAAGGCTTGCTGAATGGGATTAATATTTAATTTGTGCCACCCCACACTGCTCATACATTTGTGGAAGTATAGCAGTGGTGGGCCGACATTTTACTTTGATTTCATTACTAACATCAACTGAAGCTGTTTATTGTGATTGCCTCGTTTCTTATTTTACTTTGTTTTATTTGAGATATGATTTATTTTGTTTTGAGTTCAAGCCCCTCGGAACAGTCTGAACGCATGGTCGCACTGCTCTGCTGTTTCTGCATTCAACTCCTTTTTTCTCCCCGCAGCTTGATGAGTCGACTGTACATGCGATTCCCACCTGGCATCTTTTTTTTATTGCAGCTCAGTTCCCAACAGTTGATGTTAACCCTTCACTCTCATGTCATGTGCCAAATGTCATCGATGTACGCACTTGTTTGAATTTCAAAATGCAAAGATCCATTCCCACAGTTAGTTCCACTAACTGCCTTTAGGAAATGTGTGGTCTTAATATTTACAATTTATGTTCTATTAATTCTTTGACAGTGTAAATAAAAAACTTTCCATCAATAACTATATCAGATCAGAAAGTTAATGTTCCTTTTGAGCACATAGCTTTTAACATGGTAATTACAACGGTTTTTTGACCAAATAAGTAGTCTCTTAGTTGATAATGTGTTTGCCTCTGTAGTGCTGTGATTTGGGGGCAACATGGCCTGGCCCTATATTCACCACTTGCTCTTGTTTTTAATATGTGTCTCATTAAGAACGTCCGCTGCTTTTTTGTCGTGTAGGGCACATCCTCGTAGTGGATCAGTCCAGACCAGTCCCACCAGTACCCCGATGTCCAGTAGGCGAGGACGGCAACTCCCACAGCTTCCACCCACAGGGAAGGACAGAAGTAAGTCACCTGAACATCTCCTATTCATATTGCACGGTTAGAGCATATGGAGAAACTTACTTCCAGAGATCTACGGGCCTGTGTTTTGATATAATGTTGTACTTGATGACTCAACCGTTTGGGTCTCAGGGAGAGCTTTAGTTAATAGCAGCTGCTAACTCTTTCGAATTATTAGCACGCCACAGATCTTCACATTTGTTCGAGGACTTTTTAGTTTGTTTGTTTTTGTTTTATGCTTGATGCGTTTGACTTCCATCCATAACATATCTCCTCGGTTCCTTTTCCATTTCTCTCGTAGAAGATGGAGAGGAAGGAACAGAGCCTTGTGAAGGTCTGTACCTGAGTGTGCGGGTTTAGTCTTTCAGACCAGGAGTGCTGGTGTAGCTGCACCTCGCTCTGAAGGCCAAAACCCCGTCTGCAATAGCAGCCGGCTGGGTTCAGGGACGCCGAGGTGACCCTCTGCGTCCTGACCCTGCCCTGTGTTGCAGTTGTGTTTAACGTGCTGTTGAGGTGTCGTCGGGTCATACTTAAACGTAGGTCTGTCTGGATTCAGTCTGCTGTTACCATTGCTATGTTCAGCGCTAGCCTATCTGTGTTCGTTGCTTTTATGGTAGATGTTGATTATTATTCTTTTTTTTCTTTTGCAAGTCATGGATTTTTTGGAACTCTTTGGATTGCTGAGATGCTTCACAAAATAATGATTAGAATCTATCTGGAGAAGCTGAATGTGCATTTAGTAATTTCCTCAGGCCCGGAGGCTTGAACTTGCTCACAATTCCAAAGTGTCATTTGGACTATTTCTTTTCCCTCAGCACTCCAGCAGACGTCATGTGTTGTGAAAACTTGTGACATGTACTCCAAGAGCGACTATTATGAGTTCAGTGACTATTTCATTTCCGTATTTGGATCAGAGGATATCAGATATGAAGCCTGCTAGTATTTGGGTCTCTGTGGGAGCGAACGAGACGAGGCTACAGAGGGATGGGGTGAGGCTCCTGTAGTTTGGGAGAACCTGTCAAAACAGTCGCACAACTGTTTCATCACTGTCAGAGTTCACGAAGGCGTTACTTGTGTGTCTGTGCGGCCGCCAGCCAGCCCCACTCTCTCTCTCTCTCTCTCTCTCTCTCTCTGTTTCTCCCTCTGTGTTATGGTCGGTCTCTCCCAGTGCTACCTTTCCTGTGGTGCCATCTTTGATTATGATTGATGATTGATGATGATGACTTTGCCATCAGTGCTTGGTGTCTCCCTTTTTTTCTCCTCCCTCTTTATTCTGCCCTATTCTTTCTTTTCCTATTGCTGTTGGATGTCTACTCTATTCTATTCAGTACATTCTCTCTTAACTTCTGCTATATCTTTTAGAACAATGGCAGCCTGTGGATCAGGTGGGGTAGGGGTTATTGATCAGATCTCATGTTGCAGCCAACTTCACTTGTGTGGTGCAAGTGTTTGTGTGAATGTGTGTACGATCGGAACTCCTTATATGGTGCGTTGCTTTTACGCAGGAGTTGAAATGTTGATGCACCCTTCCGAGTTTTGGCTCACCACTAACTTTAAAAAAACAAAACACTGAATTAAAAAAAAAAATCCTTTTGGGTGAAACAAGAGAGGAGTAAGGGTCACATGACGCCTCCACTGATCATTCAGGTGTGTTTGCTACAACATTAAACAGTCTTTATACCTATTTTTGAATTGCCATGTTCTCTATATGTTAGAAAATACGTTTATTGTTAATTGAAATGATTAGATATTAATCGCACAAAGGTACGGAGCTCTTTGCCTGGGAACAGAGTATCGGCCAGTATTTGCTGATGTACGGCAGATTCAGCTGCAAGCCTGAATGAACGAAGAGACTGCTGGCAAAAAGTGGAGTTTCCCACAGTTTCTACTTCCTACAAACCCATCTGTTTATGTGGCAGGCTTCTGTCCTATGACTGTGTTGCACTGGCGCTCCACACTGTTGTACTAAGCCGTGTATGGTAGCCATCATCACCAAACAACCCATAGGTCACGTTTAGCTGTGATATCAACCAAACAGCTCTACAATTTCTTACTATCTTTCATGTTCAAACTGGTAATGAACAGCAACTTTTGGGCTAGTCTTATTTTTGTGCACGAAAGCGGGTAAGTCTGAGTGTCATATTAAGTTGACTCATGGTCACGATAAGGTCTTAGAGCCTCTTCATTTCATAAGCCTCCATCTGTCTCTATGCTAGCGGGAGACAGTGAGGAAAAACCTCAGGGTCCACCAGTAAATGGAAGGAAAGGCAAGTACTTTGAATGGAGTGATGGTGTGGACTTTGCTGTGTAAGCTTCGGCTGCTGTGGTATTTGATGCAGACGTGGCCCTTGATGATCATCTGCTCTGACTTAATTTGTCCTTATTTGCCTTAGAACTCTCGTGGAGTTCTTGATTTTAATCTTACTTTCCCCCACATTTCATTTAATATAAAAGCCAAGCAAGGTTTATTCTTATTTAGTTGATATAGACAGATAAAAATTCAGACCTGTGTGTTGCTGTAACTGATGTTAATACATACAGATTGCTGTGGTTGGGATTTCTGCTGGTCTGTCTTTCTCTGCCTCCAATACAGCTTCAAAGTCCTAATCTAGCCATAGCGTAATACTAATTAGTTCTGCCCAGCTCCACCTCGCAGAGATAGAACTCTCCATTTCTATTGTAAAATTGCCAATCATTTCAATTAGACATGGATTATTGAACATGTGCACACATACTCTGCTCAAGCTCTCCTTTAAATCCAGTTTGTTTTGTACTTTAAGGCCATTCAAAGCAAAAACTCCGCAATCTCTAATGACATGATAATTGTGCACAACGTAAAAGGACAAACTGCTCATCTAAAGTACATTTTGTAGCATTTTGCCTGTTCCATGTCTTAAACTACGCCGTAGATGTGCTGCAAAGCTAAATATTTTGTTTTGTAGAATCTGACGGACTTTTACCTTTTTTGGCCAGCAGATGGAGCACAATTCATAATGTTTGAGGGGGAACTGTCCCTCATTTCAGTTCTTAAATGGCTTGAAGCAGTCTTTCTCTTGCATGATACCTTTTCTTCTATTCTTTTAGAATGAAAAAAATTTAGCGGGAAAATAAATGTGTGATTTTGATAAGAAAAACAATGCTTTGAACTGAAGCTAGTGCCACATTGGTGTGAGATCTCACCAAAGGTTCCTTTTAAAGGCCCAAACAATTGAGTGTGTGTGTGTGTTTGTGTCTTTGTATGCATATGTATGTATGTGCCGTGTGTTTTTTTTAAAACTATAGAAGTGACATGGGAGGACCAGCAGCGAGGGCTTAATGGCTCTCTGTCTGATGGAGGCTCACAGCCACAACCCTCCCTCACTGATGCAGGTTTGTTGGTTTGCAAGTGAGTTGGTGTGATTTTAATTAAACAGCATACTGCACTTTGAAACCGTGCTGAACTTAGTCAATCATATGAGTCCATGGCCAGTAATCAACCCACAGCGTTACTTACTAAAAGGAATGTTGATCTAAAATTGAGTAATTTGTTTCCACCAAATGTAGTGTCCAAAATCCAAGAGTTTTTAATTTAGAGTCCGTGCGTAAACTGTTTAAAATTGCCTGGGAGTTTGTATTCAGAATTCCTACAGCATAGAAAACTGCTTTGATAGTCCAGCTAGCATCTTTAATAGTCTTAGGCTGTCATTTCTACCCTTTGAATTAGATGAATGGTTCTGATCGTTCTGGGTTTGGCATTTTTAGGACTCTGAGGCCAAACTCATTCCACCACAACAAAAGCACCTCAGAAACACGTCGTTCTGAAGCTAATGAGAAAATAGAAGAAGATAGCAATTGATTAATTGGCGGCTGCTTTCTGTAAATGTATTCCTCCGTAGAGTAGTGTCCTCAAGGGGTACTTCTTATTGTTCATGAACTCATATGTAACTCAAAACGATCTTATCTTCTCCATCTTTCTTATCTGGACTCCACCAAAGCCTGACCTGGACAGGCTGCGATAAATGTTAGATGTTGATAAAAAATTATTTGAGCCACCAGACGTATTTAAATCTGTGTGATGTCCGGGTCAGCACACCCCCCTCAACACACACACACTCTTGGCAGGATGGTTGACTGCTTGATTTGAATTTGCAGTGCAGCTGGAAGCTGATGTTTTTGTGAGTGCTTTCAAAGCTAAAACTGAAAAGTGATTGAATTTGGCTTAGACTTACAGTGAAAATCTCAAATCCCCCCTCACTGTGATGTGTAAACGCAACACTAAGTCGTCAGCCCTCTGATTGTGAGCTTTATTTTCAATTATTTTCAATTGAATTATTCATTGGTTGCTATTTATTGGCTTTTGATTTGATTGAAAATGCTTCGGAGTAATTACTGAAAATTAAACAAAAAGACATTTCAAATTCAGAATGTCTTCAGACATAATACTTGTACAGTAATATATGTTTATGGTGTATACACATGGATTTAATAATGTTGAGAATTCTAATGACAGGAAGTCTGTTAAAAGGTTGCCATCATGATGTCTTTATGTGCCGTGTTTGCTGTATTGGTTAGATGTGTTTCCAAGGAAGTTAATCTTCACTTCCTTTCAAATGATGCCTTATTTATGTTACTTACTTGTAATTTCATTAGCTGACATGGTATGTCCACAGGATCTGATTTATGATTGTGTTTGTATGTAATTTATTTTAGACAACAGCATCAGTAAGTGGAAAACCGGCACAGTTATATTTCCAAAGCCACAGTTACAGTTCCTCTTTTTTCAGACTCTGCTCATCTCTTGTACTGAATGGTCAAAGCTTTAGTGGTCTGTTTTTATATAGCGTTTATAGCTGAGTGGGATCAGGATAGCACTGATTGATTGCTGTCATAACATCTACTGTGGAAAACATCTGTTACGGGAAATTTTTACCACACATTTCATGATTACCTAGAGCTGTCCACTACCATGCCACGTCTCTACATAAAAGCGAGATTAGGTTTCTGCAGTGGGTTCTGTTTTCTTTGCTCTTCTCCTATGAGTAACCACAAGGTTTTGATTCATTTATTAATTGATGTGCGAAAAGTCTTTGAATTTGCTATGAGGCGCTGGTTAACATTTCATCACTAAAACAGATTTTTCTTATCATTTTACATGAAATATTTCCCAGTCAAGCTGTGGTGGGGGATTCTGTCCCCTCGTGGTAAAACAACATTCTTGGTTCAGCCTTCTTACTGGCTGAGGCTTTTTCTGGGGGATGTTTGCGCGTTCTCATTGCGACTGAGTTTTCATCACTCCGTCCAAAGGCACGTGTGTTTGGCGAACGAAGGATTTTTATACACCTTCCTAAGTGTGAGGGTGCGTCGCTGGCTTTTTTTCTGTCAACCTCGGGATGCACTGGGAACTTGTTCAGGTTGTCTGCTGCCTTTTGTCCACAACAACAACCCTAAAAAGGGCCGTCACAAATAGATGAAAATATGTTATTTGGCAGTAGTAAGAGGTATCCATAATTAAAACTACTGCATCCTTAAAGCTACTAACTGTAGTCTCTCTCATGATTGTACCACCAGACATTTTGTTTATTGAATGGTAGCATCTTTTGAGATTGTTGCACATTTCAGCACATATAATAATATTCTGAAAATATCACAATCTCATGTTTTGGTAGTTTTGCATTTGTATTTTGTATTTTCCTTTTTATCAAAGTGAGCCCCATTACTGCTCACATTCCTTGTTGTGGGAAAATACATGAGAAATGGTCAATGTTGAGAAATATTCTCTTTTTCATTTTTGTATTCTATCATGTAATGGCCGTATTAATCAGTGATTCTAACAGTTTGTCTGAAAAATCTGCTGTCGCAGTGGGGTATTGTTTATTTTTGTTGCCGTCATTTATTTCCATCTTGAAGCGCCACTCTCTCATCCAGATGACCCTCTTGATTCAGTGGAAGTAAAAAAAAAATGGCTGTCTCTCTCGATTGTCATTTGACTCTCTGGTGAAATGACGTGAGCTGCCACAGAGAGATGAAAGCTAATGATTCAGACATCTCCCATTGTCTTTTTTATTCATGTGACACTTCATTAGTCAGCCTGATGGAGAGCTAATTGAGCTAAATGCAAATTCTGTTTAAGGAGGTATTAAAATGAAGTCTAATGAGATTGCTCTCCCAGCTGTTGCTCTTGGTTTGTCGGGTTCAAAGTGGAGGATTATGACTAAAAAAAATAGGATAATAGAACAGCTGTAAAACGGGGTTAGCATGACCACCGACAAGGAAATTTGTCCGGTCCAGTTGTGGCTTCTATGCAATGGCTAAAAACATGCCTGAAATGATTGTGTGTATGTTATTATCCACTTGTGCACTCTGCTGCTGTATGTACTAGGTGACATATCTCTCTTTTGTGTCCTCGCTGCTCTGCGCTTTCAGTTTTCGTGGTGTATTTTTTTTTTCTTTCTTTTATGTTGTTTTTCCAGGCTGCCTCCCCACAGTTGCCCCCATGCTGAAGTGAAATGCACCTCTTCCTTTACCTCTTCTCCTCTCTCCCTCTCTCTTTCTCCACCTACCCTCAGCAAAGGTCTCAAGTCTCTATGTGGTTCTGTGCATTAACATCTCTTTACTATTGCAGCACTTTTTTTCCTTTAAAGCACAGAACCCCACCCGTCCAGTCCCGCTCCTTTTTGCAGTTTCCAATAACTAAACTCTTGGCTTCCACCTTAGCCTCTCCTGGCCTCCCTCTATTTTGACTTCTCAGTGTGCCCATGGTGGAGTTTTGCGTGTTCTTTGATTTTGTTTGTGTTTTGTGCTCATTGTTTTGTCATTGTTGTGCTGTATTGTCGTTGTGCTGTGTCCCCACTCCTCCCTCCCCATCCACCCCCTCCTCACTCCCATCCTTAAAACCTGACATATTCAATGATGGCGTCATCCTCCTCCATTCTCTTTCTCCAACTCGGTGCTCCCCCTCCTGTACCCTTTGTGCCTCCTCTCACATCCATGTTCCTCTCCTTTGTCTGTGTCTGTCCATTTTGTGATGTGAACCCAGAAGACATGGACTCACCAAGTTGGACGAACTCAGGTCTGTCCCTTCTTCTTCTGCACCTTCTTCTTTACCTGACTCCACTTCTTCTCTTCTTCTACTTTTATTCTCTTTACGTCTCCCTAGCTTGCCTCCCCTTCCACCAGCCTCCCCTGACCTCACCCTTTTGTTTCTTTTCAAACTTTGCTTGCCTCAATTTTCTTGCGCGCTTCGCACTGGTAATTGTTGTGTTGGTGCCTCCGGCTTCTCTTTCATGTCTACGGTTTTACTTTGCCGTGCACCAATTCCGTCTATTCATCGTTCACAGCCGCATGATTGTGGTGTCATCAGTGTGCTTTCTTTGCAGCAGGTGTTGACAATACACAGCAGCAGACAATTCTACCAATGGACACGCATTCGGACACATTTTTCTAAATGGATTTTGTAGCCACGTGTATTTATGAGTAGTTAGTGTTTCACCTCTGACAGCAGTCAGTGCTTTCGGTTTGGATTATGTCCTCACAGGCTAGTTAAAGCTATTCAAGGGCAGAACCACTGGAAGCTTTTTCCCCCTCGGAAATAGCTCAAACTTCAGATTTTTCCTGATGTTTTGAGTATTATCTGCATTATCGATTTCTGAAGGGGAGTTACTTTTTAATCAGATGGTTATTCGTGTTACTGATACATTTATCAACCGCAATATCAATTATACAACATCAGCAGTGGAACATCAACTACAAACTATAAACTGTATAACATCAACTACAGTATATCAACTCTTGGATATTAACTACAGAACATCACATGTAGAAAATCAACTCTAAAACATCAATTCTACAATAACATTATTATATGGACCAAATTGTTATACCAATGATACCACACTGATTCCAAAGAAAAAATATGTAAAGATCCACGATATTGTTTTAGCTGCAATTGTTATTTTAAGGTATTAAATGTTTTACATGGCAAAAAACACGTTTTTCTGCTTTAAGCTTTTAACGTCAGCACACCAGCCTCAAAACAGCCTGATTCCCAAAACTGAGAGCGCCCTTGATCCTTTCTAGCAGCTGTTTAGAATTATGCATAACCTCTCTTCCAAAAATGTTCCTTTAAATACTTTACCTCAATAGACTATTTCAAATGAAACAATAAGGGTAAAAAGAAGACGCTCAGATGATTCAGCCTGTACTAAACACAGTCACCAACTCCCACATGAGCTCTCCTTGATCCATTTCCTCCAATTCTGGACGGCCATATGCTATGACTCCACCTTCATATTATTTCTGCACTTGTGAGAATCTTTCGAATAGCACTATTGTGTTTCCCCTCAATTTAATGTACGATTGTTTTATTTGAAATAAACTTTAGACCTAAATCAGTGGTGAAACAGAAAAAAGCTGCACAGTTTAAGTAATTAAGAGATTTTACTGTGATTTAAAGAAAAAAAACGTGCCTTAAGATAATATATTGCCTTGTAATTTGACCTGAAGACAGAAAGAATGACTTTTGGGCTCAATGAAAAGCGGATAACTAACAAGAATACAAAGTAACCTCAGCTACCCAGTCATTTTCCCCAACCAGTAATCTTTGTCTGCGTATATGTGTGTATGTATGTCAAAGCAAAAGAAGACTGTGAATGTGCATGATGTTTGTTGGTGTGCATCCATCCTCACACTATCATTGCTGATATGTGACACAAAAGTAGAGACAACTACTTGGAGAGAGTGAAAATATCGATACAAAAAGAGAGTCGCATTTGGTTGCAATGTAGACGTATGTTTTTATAATGTTTCTTGGTGAAATACACATTTAAATGTTCCATCAGAAAGTGTTTATGGTGGAGGTGTTACAATTATTATTGTTAAGGTTAATAGTGTGCCTTTTTTATGATGTAACCTGTTGATAGTTCTTATGTTGTGATTAAACTTTTACAGGCTGGAGTTTATGTGTGTCTGTTGATAATATTTACATAATAGCTGAATTCAGAAACTTGTAAGATGGGTAATCAGGATGAGGGAGTAATTTCACAAAACTCCCAAAATCTTTTTAAATCCCTGTAGTTTGAGGTAACTGTAAATTAGTCCTGTCATTCAGGCATTTAATTTACTTTTAAAGGAACTACATTTGTTTTTAAGTTTATGTCTCAAATATTGTTAGAGTCGATGTTGTGGTAATACTGTTTTAAGTTGGCTGCTTGGAATTTGTATCTCTAAGTTAAGTTAATTATTCATTGATCATTGAAATGAAAACGGGACATTATTTGTTCAAATGATTGGCCGACGTTTGGGAAACTGGTTAAAAAGAAAGCAGTTCAATACGTCTTGCAGCTTAGATTACTGAGTTTGTCTGTATGGTCAGTCATTCAGCTTTTTCCCCATGAACTCTGTCCTCGTCATAGCTCATGGTTCATAGCTCTGCTGAAGCTTGTCTTTCCCCATAACAGTATGTCCTTCCATCAGTTACCCCCCTCCCCAAGATGCCTAAACCTGTCTGACACGGTTACGTTTCTGTGCTCAGGTATGGACATGGAAGAGAGGACCAGAGAGATGAAACTAAAGATGAACAAGTATAAGCAAGGAGCTGGCTCTGACTCCAGACTGGAACAGGACTACCACAAGGTAAAAATATCATTAGACGATATGCCGGAGTTATGCCTCAGCACTCCGGAGAAAAATAGCCCCAGTTCGCAGTTTGCATGGCTGCACTGCAGTGCTGATAGGATACAGTACGACAAGTATTGCAAACAGACAAGGATATCCGAATGCATATAGTAACACCATGTTAAACATACACACGGATGTTTTTTACAGTGTTAGAATATAAATACATAACTGCAACAACAACTTAAAAGGATAAACCCAGACCAAAGGTTGAAAAAATAAGCTATTTCTCTTATAATCTACCAAATAACCCTAATATCTAACTGCACATAATCTTAGTCATGGAAATGGTTTTATAAAGAATTGTGCTTGAAAGAGGCATATTTCCAGAAACAGTGCAGTGCAACAAAATGCACATTTAGTTGACTGAAGGTAGAAAAGGATAAGAGCTGATGTTACAAATTTCAAATATCTTCAGTATCAAGTGTTAGATGAGAAGTACTGCTCTGAAGTTTTTTTTTTTAATTATTCCTTGGCTGGGTACAAAAAAAAAAAAAAAAAAATTCAGTAAATGTATTTCCATTCCGTTTAGACAGAAGCTTTATAGGTCAAAGGTAAAAAAATATTATGAAGGGTATGAAAGCAAAACCAAGAGGGAAACTTGTCAACAGCTGTTAAAAAAGAAACAACAAAGGTTTTATCTCTTCGTCAAGTGGGTGCGCTTAGACGCTTGTGATCATTCCAAGGAATTTGACAGTGAGCGTTCACAGATTCAAGTGTTTACTACTCTTCCGACGAGATCCTGAACATGTTTAGAGAGCTCATTCTCAGCCTGCTGTCTTACTGCAGTCAGGGCCAAGATGTACAAGACAAAGCCTGTGTTTGCTTTCCTTTTAAGTCAGTGCTATGAAAACTATTGCTTAGGGGAAGCTCGTGGTGTCTGCTTTTTTTTTTTACAAGTCTATAAAAAACAGCAAAGACTGTGAGATGTCCTTGTCTGCTGAACACTATCCAGTCTCATTGACAAAACAATGTCCCCGCGATTATTGCTCGTAAACAGCAGTGTGATACACAGCAGTTACTGTAGCACTCAGCTCGGAATCTCTTACAATAAACATTTCGTTGAAAAATGCGAGACCATGTAAACGCTTCCATGTTCAAAAGATGTTTAGGCTGGTGTTTACCAGTTTGGCTTCCACGGAAGTCACGGTGCAAAGTAGTCAAATCCTCAACGACATGTCACTGGTTGTTATATCATCTACCCTTCCCGAATGGACCAAACCATGTTGTATTTATACTCCACTGTATATTCATACTATATGAAGGTACAGTACATACAGCATGTGGCATAAGGGGTCAAAGGTGATCTGCCTTCTCTGCACGTTTCAGCCGGTAAAGGATGTAGTAATGTAGGCAAAATGGGGTATATGTGATGACTGTAACTAATGACACTCATCACTCATGACGATCACTTATGATTAGCCATATCTGTTTTTTTTTTACCTGGTCTTTATGAAGGCAAAGAAAGTTTATTCTGAATTTCACATTTCATCCACAAAGGCAATTCAAACTACTTTACAAAGCCATATGCTGAACATAAAAGCACAATTTGGATTTGCAGTTGTCGAAGCAATGGAAAAGAAAAAGTCAAAAGTCAAAAGGATGTTGTAAAATTTGACAAAAGAAATGCAAGGGATAACAGTGGAGTTTCAGTTTCACTTTAAATGTGTCATAGTTGATATAATGTATTCCATTTATGTACAGTATTGCATTTAAGTGCATTATCACCCTGTGTGGTCCCAACTCAAGGTTGTACTTGCTGGCTGCCACCTAAAAATCTCTGGGCTGCACTTTGTATACATCACATACACATATGAATATAAAATGCAGCAGCATTCTGGATGTCTAACTCTAAGATTTCTAACCTGTCCTTAACTACATGAAATCTGTGGGGTTATGGTTTGGAACAACTAAAAAAATTTGAACTTGTATTTCCCGAAATAAGGCATCGCCAACACAACAACTAACTCTTCTTTTTTGGTTTTGGTGTGTCTGTTTGTTTCGTCCTCTCTGCAGCGCTCAGGCAGGGATCCTCAGGGCTCCGATAACTTGTCAGCCAAGTCGTCGGACAGCGATGTAAGCGACGTGTCCGCTGTATCGAGAACCAGCAGTGCCTCTCGGTTCAGCAGCACGAGCTACATGTCTGTCCAGTCAGAGAGGCCGCAAGGAAATCGGAAAATCCGGTAAGCTGACGTCCAATGCCTGTGTACCGTGTGTTGCTTTTTGATCTTCATCAAGCTGCCGCCAAGAACGGACAAATCTCCCCCAGCTGTGAACTTCTCACACATGTCCAGTCGTTTTTTTTATTTTTGAAATACCAGACACTTGGTTAAACCAATAAATCAAATGAAGCCTCTGGCATTGTGTGGAGTTTCCTCTCCTAGTTGAGTTCAGGTTTGGTTTGGCTCTGTTGTAGAAAATCTGTGGCCAAACAGTTGAACTCTACTTCTTCACATCCGGGGGAGGTTTGTCCATTCCGGGTAAAACATGCTGAGTGATTAGACACATCAAATCCCTTTGGATGTGGTCTCAGATCAAAGCAAAAAAAACACCCTTATTTGCATGCTGCTTTGTTGTAAATCTACTTTCCGTTTACTTGGCTGCATTGTTTTTTTTTGTTCGATTTACGTTGCATTTGTCGACATTGTTCACGCTCTGTTCTTTCTTCCTGCTTTGCATGCGCCGCTCCTTTTTGCTTCTGTCTCCGTCTTCAGCCAGTTGCAATCCAGAAGCCATTCCAGGGAGGGGGATGAACAGTTAGGGGGGGTGCGAGAGGAAGAGGAGGTGGGAAATAGGGGGAAAGGGGGTGGCGGGAGGTTGCAGGGAGGGGGCAAAGCGTCAGCAGGGAATGTAGACAGAGACAAGGAGCGTGAGGAGGATTTGTTGGAAAAAGAAGAGGACTTGCGCCAAAGGAGTATATCAGAGACTAACCTCAGGTAACAGCAACCTGTAACTGCAGCCCAACAACTGAAGAAAACTACTGCACACTATAAAAGACTTATATATATGTATATAAAAAAAGTGCAGTCCCCTCTCTTTTCCATCTAATAGTGATACTAACGTGGAGTAAGAGCACTGCTCGGGAATCTGCACAGCTTCTGACATGAGAGCCCACGCTGAGAATTTAAATGGTAGAGTCCCTTTTTGCTCCATAGTGATAGGCTTCAGGATCCCATCCCATCAGCATTAGGTTTAAGTTAAAGTACAGTTTTAAGTGAAAATTGTAAGGTAAAAAAAAAGAGAAAATCTTTTCAGCCTCTGATCATTTTCTCATTTATGAGGTGAAGCAGAATTTGTACCATCAATCTCTATTTGAGTGTTATCTGACACACGTGGCCTACGTGGCCGAATGCGCGTGCTTTTTAATCAAATACACTTAGATTTAGGTTGTACAGTGGTAAAGCTATACTTAGCATGGCACTGTTTCATTGTCTCCCCAGGAGAGTACATTTTCCTTTCTGAACTCTGTTGGAACAGCACGTGTAAAAAAGAAAGTATGTCAAGAGGAAATTGATTTAGAATCTCTGAGCAGGAAAAAAAACAACCTTTGAGTTCAGCCCTTACAAGCTGTCATTATCAAATCACATTCACAGCAGGATCCCCGTTAGTTCTTCCTACCGACGTTAAAACTGCTCGTTAGATTACATTAACATAAAAGTCATCCTGTCTCGTGACAATTTAACATTCCGCTTGCGTGTTTGAAGAGACACACACACATCATTATTCACATGCAAGATTCTGAAGGCAGGGTAAAAGCTGAGTTGATCTAAAGCTTGCCCAGAGCGCGCACGCGTGTGTGTATGTGTGGCATGATCATTTATCTATGTATGAGGGAGCTGGTAATAAGTAGCATGTGTAGTAAAAAAAAAAAAAAACTGATTTCAGATCAATAACAAACTTTTATCACATTTAGGCTACATGTCTCAGAAAGTCAAATGTATCCTTACCATGAATATACATGGAATGGATTAAAAAATAGTTATGCAGGCAAGTTGCTGTGTGAGAGACAAACCAGGCACATTGGAATCTCGTAAAGATTCAATAAATATGCACAAGTAGGAGTAAATCGCGCTTTGATCAGCTTATTTCTTTAGCAAAAGTTTCTAGAGCTAAAAAAGATGCTTAGTGTACCACAGATGTACAGTCGAAATACTACTTTAACACTGCTTTCAATTGAAAAACCATTTTTGGTCTGTTTGGATCACTCTGAGGCTGCATACTGTGTTGCTTTACTGTTTGTGCTGCTCACTGTTGGGATGTTGCATCAGTGTTTTGTCTTTCAGCCTGTGTTGCTCAGTCTTTCAGTTCCTCTGCACCCTTTCAGTCCAAACCTCCTCCATCTCTCGAGCTGTTCGCCATCATCCCAAACCCCTTCTGTCTGTGTCCGGCCTCAGCCCTCATGACCACACCAACAGCTCGGGATAAATTCACTTTCAGTATTGGCGCTAAAATGTTGATGTAACTAATATTCCTTATTGAGTGAATCATTTTTCTAGAGAACTATTCAGTGTTAAATTAAAATAATTTAATCTCCAAACCAAATATTTCACCTTTACTTAAAGTGAATGGAACAGCTCCCACTTTTAACCTGCAGATGCCTCCTGTCAGTAGAATCTACTTTATTTCCTTCATGACAGCTACAGTATAAATTGATGACGTGCACACTCCTTTTTGAACCGGGGTGCCAGTGCTGGGCTAGTGTTAGTGTTCCTCCAAAGCTGGTTCAATTTTAGCACCTTCTGCTTTGATTTTCTACTCCCAGGGAGACACATAGATTTGAATGCCTCTGAAATAAAATTATGAAACTACACTGTGATCTTTTTCCTGATTTTTGAAGGCGAATGCAATGAAGGTAGAGAGTTTATCCAATAATCACAACTGCAAGTTGGAAGCAGTTGTACCAGAATGTAAATGGGTTTTTTTCACCACAACATAGGTTTGAAAATTAGACTTAATGCATATTTTTCTTAAGTAATTGTTGATTTCTGATAACCCTTAAAACCTTGTGAGACCTTTAGCCATTTCATAGACCAGCTAGGTCAATTAAGCCCTATGTTGGAAGGATCTCCCACTCTGTTTTGTGTTTGTTTGTGTTTATCTTTGTGGTGTAGTCGCTTACGTAGGATGCTGTCTCTCTCCTCCAGATATGTTTCCACCATCAGTGGAAAGTGGACGCCAGAGACATTCTAAGGCTTCTAATTATCTCTCCGAGTAGTCGTAGTATACGTAACTATAGCCAAAAAGAAAGCACAGTTGGGTTTGACGTAAATGAATGGGGATTGTGTTGAATGAGGCAGTGCTATGAAAAAAAAGTCCAAGCAGAAGTCATGCAATGCTTTAAGTGGAACTGTGGTTCAGTGTTTGTTCTAATTCAATGTTAGTTAAATACTAATTTTGCTGTTTGAAAAAGAAAAATTGATAAGGGAGATAGAGTAGTGTACAAAAAATAGAAATATCTTAACAGCATTAGTTAATGTAGTAGTTTAGTACTTGAGATGTGAACAGGCTGTCACAAAAACGTCACAGAGCAACATTCATTCTGAATACTCGTGTCATCCTTGAAAACCGTGTTCTTTTTAGTGTTCTCCTCTCACAAAAAGCCATTTCCTGTACTGTTAAAAGACCGCCTCCAGCCAATCATGTCTTGTAATTAAAAAAAACAACCTTTTTGATTAAAAATACCCGCATTTGCTCTGCACCGGTACTTACTAACTGCAAATGGGATTTTGAGTGATTTCCTACAGGATAAGCAGAGATGTTAAACATTGCAAAGGACATTGGGCAGCCATAAGAAAATGTTCAAAAACATTAAAATGAGAGGAACAAGGGTTAGAATAGTTAGTTAGTTTTTTTTTGGTCAGTATGTTGTTTTCGAATAAATGGTAAGCCTCAATAACAGAGTTGGTGCTACTCTAACATGAAGATTTTCTCAGCCTGCAATAGAAACAGGCGAAAGAACTGGTTCAAAATTAGAAACTGGCACCAAACCAGCATCAGTTCCACATTGGTGGGAAAAAAAAGTATTTTTGAGGTTTTCTTGGAAAAACAACCTGCAGAAGAATATACACAATGACAAAAGACGTTCTGGATATGTTTTCACATCTATTGCAAGTTTAAGATAAAGTTTTCCAAAGTGGTTAAAAAAAATCACACCGAACCATTATGAAAAGCGCTGATAAAGTAATATAATTAAATACGAAGGTACAATAGTAAAGAAAATAGACACACATTCGATAATGATGTAGAAGAACGGATTGCCACTTAATAATAATTTTTAGTTCTGACTCAACTTTTATACATTTAGGTAATAGTGTAAACATTCACAGTTGCGTATGGCCATGTGTTTTTAGTGAGGACAAACTAAGGCACACCAGTGTCTTGAGGCCAAAGTCTCCATTGTTCTCCAGGGAGAAAAAAGCTGTCCGTCAACACTTCCGACACACACATCACCTCCGCTCCTCCATTTTTCTTTGATCCAACACTGTCGCCATGGTAACAGGCTCTCTCATGTGAAGGGGAGGGAAAACCGTTTGGATACTTTTGACCTGCAATAAACTCATCATTGCTGGAAAGTGGGAAATGTTGATTACTTGATGCTCGGCCCACTCAAAAGTCACCACAACTCTGTTGGTGATTCAAAGGAGAGTCCTATATCCTGTTATAGTTAAGGGACCTCTTCAGATTTTCTCACTTAAGTCTCATTACTCGAGCTGCGTTGACAAGCGCGCGTGCTAATACTCTGATTTGCATGTGAGGCACAGTTGCTGTAGAAACTCCATCCACAGTTCTGATTAAGACGAGGTCAGCCTTTTTGTGGAAGGTAATCAAGAGGAATTTTACATTTTAGAGCAACAACTATAATCTTCCTCTAAAATTAGAAATTCTTCCTCCCAGTAAAGTAAAAGTAAATTAACTTTATTTAACAAATACTGTTGTGAACCCAAAGGGTTCAAATTCAATTTAAAGCAACACACCAAGTTATGACTATTTTTTAGCACTGGGATATTCACAGAGACCCACTCTTAACAGTGGAGGTAGTCACAGCAGAAACATTTACCTATTAAAGACATCACGTTGCAACTAAATCTGTCAACTCTTTTGCAAGAAAGTATGTTGCCACCTTTTGTTTTTGGCCACAGGAACATCTTGGCCTAGATGAAAATGCACGCTGAGCAAAATGCATGATCAGGAACACTGTGTTCTTTGGGCTGAGGTTGAACAACAGAAATCCCCGGAGAGTCCCATTCTTCCACGCAGGCACATTTACACGGGGAGCCAAGACCTGCTCGAAGAGTAATGATGCTGTGAGGAGGGGAGGTGTTGCGAAATGGCTTCATGCCATTATATTTATTCAAGTTAAAAGCAACATTTCATGTTCGGCCTGCATGATATATTTAAGCAATTCTCTACAACCATCAAACTAGCCAATTTGACCTTGCATGCATTTGGAAAAAGAAACACGCTTTTGAAATGATAAGTAAAGTTACCAGAAGATGTTTGTTCAGTTCAGGTAATAGTTTTCCCACATAATAATTCAACAAAGCGACCTAGGCCCATACAAATGATGAATTACGATTGTGTACTGATCAACTGCAGTAATCCGAGTAGAATAAAATATTCTTCACTCTGGCCTTCGTTCAGGAATCAGGATTTGAGAATTAAGACTAGAAAGATATTAGCTCTAAGATGATGAATAAACTTATGATGAACAGATTTGCGCCACATTTATCAAACTAACAGCTATTTTATTTGAAGAAGAATGCCGCAAAGTGTTAAGCTATGACAACTTCATCACTATCGTATAGTCCTTCTGACCTCTTCTTTATGCATTTATGTAATATGATGGATATACAGTGAACAGATGAAATGCAGCCTGGCTGTCATGGTTGTGAAAGAGCATATTTTAGAATGTCACCTGTAGCACATCAGTGTTGTCAGCAGTTGAGATGCTTGAAGTTTCTTCAAAGCTTCAGGGTTGAATCAGCTGATCAAAGGCGATAATCCCTCAGTAAGAATTCAATATTTATGTATTGGATCACAGGTTGATCCGTAACAGATCCAAATGGCAACTGGCAGTAACAAAAGGCTTTATATTGCAAGCTGGGGTACGACTAGTGCTAGGTTTAAGGGCATGTGCATAGTTACAGAGAGAATAGATAAACAGTCATGAAAGAGTCCAGCAAGACCTACCCTCTGCCTCTCTGGGGCTTGACAGCCTGGAAACACAGTCATCACATTATGAATGTTTGGTAGATTTTGGATATCGCGGAAATCGACTTGTCTTCAACTTGAATTAATCTTGTTGCGGCTACTTGAAATGCAATGATCTTCGATGTAGAGGAACTTTAAAAAGTTTGGGAAATTGCTTTTTGGGAAACATTGAATTGACACCTAAATATGAACATATCAAAAAATCCCAATTCAAAGTGTAACTGAAGTAACTGATTAAATCAATCCTCATGCACTCTACAGCCTGTCTCTCCATAATTTGTCTCCATAATCCAGTTATGTGATGGAGGTCAGTAATTAATTAATGAACAGTAGCCTGAGGGTGCTACAAAGAGATGATCCCATTAAAAGCCCATGATAGAGAATGTAATTTGTCTCTTAAAGATAATTGTACTGGCAGAGCTAAAATAAGACCTCAATTTGGACACTGGCCTAATTTTTTTTTTTTAGATTTAGAGAATCGTGCTGATGACTGGCGACGTTCATTTTCTAAGACGTACAGGATGTAGGATATCACGACTCAGGTGCAGAGAAGATGCCAGCTTAGTTTTTTCTTTAGCAGCTGTACTGTTTCTGAAAAAGAACTTCTATGTGAAAGTAGCATGAACTTCATATCTGTTGATGATTTATTTGAGCATAGGTTACGGTGATTAACTAGGAACTTTAGTTAAAGCTTCAATTGATCTGTTGAACATGATGAAAAGCTGCATATAAAACACATCTAAAGCTTTTATGAGACAAAATAAAAATATCAAATGGGTGAACAGTTTTGAGAATATGTACTGTAGTTTCTTAAAACCCTAAACTCAGCAATACTGTAAGTCATGAACTTCTATACCTGAACTCTGTCCTTCTCTCCTTTTCACCCCACACCTTGTCATTTCCCCCTCCCTCTCTCCTCTTCCATCTTCTCCTCCTGTTTACTCCTCCATCACTTCTCCTTACTCAACCCCCCCTCCCTCCCTCCGCTGGATTTTTCTGTCCTCTACCTGTCCTTCCTTCTCTCTTTCCTTGCCTGCCCCCCTGTCAATGGTGGTGGCTGACAGTGACTTTGCATCCAAAATGAAAAACAGGCAGATGGGCTCATCCGGTGGGGTGAACATGACCAAGAGCACGAGCATCAGCGGCGACATGTGCAACCTGGAGAAGACGGACGGCAGCCAGTCAGACACGGCGGTCGGCACGGTAGGCACTGACGACAAGAAGAGGCGCTCCAGCATTGGTGCCAAAATGCAGGCCATGGTTGGCATGTCACGCAAGAGCCGGAGCACCTCTCAGCTCAGCCAAACAGGTAGGGCATCCAACGCATCCGCACCCGTCTTTGTCTCTGTGGTGCTCTTAACTGGATATTTAGTACTAATTCTGCTATTTTCCAGCTCTTTCTTTTTCCTCCCCTGTTTTTTTGTTTTTCATCAATAAGGAGACTTTGGGCTTTTCTGGACCTTAAAGCTTAACAATGATGTTTTCTTACACAGTTTCTCTTTTCTCTAGGTGACAGAGATCCAGGAAAGAGCTCTCTCTTTTTTCTGTTGTAACTGCCTCACTTTTTTGTCTCATTAATGTTGCTCAGTTGAGTTTTCTCATTTTCTGGTTTTGTTTTCTTTCTTTCTTTCTTTCTTTCTTTCTTTCTTTCTTTCTTTCTTTAAACTTAAAGAAATTCACTCATTGTGCTTTTGTGGGGATGTTTTTTTTTTTCCTTCTGGGATATCCTGTGCTTTCTCTCCTAGGAAATGAGCTTCTTTTGAGTTTAACTTTCGTCGCCTTTTGCAACTTATTTGAAAACTTTTGAAATGTATTCACTACCTTAAAGTGTGGCCGTGTGCAGTTGTCTGATTCTGAATGCGTTTGCATTTAAGAATGTCTGCAGGCGAGAGGAGTGTGTTACGTTTGCATATTATTCAGCTAAATGTGATCATATATTCTCTTTGGTGGCAAAAAAAAGATCTTATACCAACTTGTCCAGTTAATAGTCTCTGTTTATTTTGTTATCAAAGCGGGCCAGAAACTATTTGACAAATCTGTGTTTTGTTACCTGATTACAGAGCGTGTGAAAAAGCCTGTAGGTGGTGTGTGGTCACGTCTATAGCTGACAGATCAGGTTCTGGTCTATTCATTTCAGTGTGCGCTCACACCTGAAAGCGCTTGGCAGCTCTTTCATCTGGCCTATTCAACCTTAAGATGGGTCAATATTCACTTCTGAACATTAGCATTTTCTGCTCGGATCAGTTTAGGTAGCAGGATGGCAAGAGAAAAGCAAGTGAGCAGTGAAGAGCAAGAGAGTGGAATGAGTTTGTCCACTCACGTGCGCTTTCCCAACTCATTGGCTCACGGGTTACTGATATATCTTCCTAAATACCCAGCAAAAAGTTAATGATGTCAAATTGATAATTTTGGGCATTAAAATGTGGGATGTTATTTCAGATTCTTGTACAGAAAGACAGGATAGCCATACGCCGTTTTGGTGGTCTTGCTGTGGAAAAGCTGAGCTTTCTAAAGTTTACCATTGGAAGCAGTCAAACAGACACCACTTTGACATATTTAAAAATCTTCGTAACGTTCCTGGTTCGACAAACTTCACACACAGACATAGATGTTCCATTTCGGAGTCCTAGAGCAACGAATATATCACCTCGTTCCTTGTTCTCGAGACTATGCACACGTACCTTTCAGTATTTGTATTTAGTTGTGTACCACTGCGTACTCTTCCAAGTTGCCTTCCGTTCTACTCAGTTGCGCCTTATCCTGCGAGGCTCACCTCCCACTTTAAAATGCGTTCACAGGATGGTCAGTTTTACCAAGTTCTGGTGGAGGGTTGGGACAGATAAGCCAGGCAGCATGGCTGCCTCTCAGTTAAATAGAAATGTACTAGCAAATCTTTAACCATATCCTGAAGGTCAATTAAAACAAAAACAACTCCTTATTTCTGTAACTGCAATGAAGTCAGCACAGGTCCAGAAGTGCAGTTCAAGTTTCCAGTAGAAAGTTATAAAATACATGTTCATCCACCATGACCCATAACCAGAATTGAAATCATAATGCCCCTCCTTAGTCTGAGTATTGACTTTCTGCCAGGCCCTTCTTTCCTGCACATCAGCTAAAACTTTCGCAACGAGGCTGAGAACTGTTATTCCTCCTTAGGAGTAAATACACTCTTAGGTCTTCCTTTTTAAACAGAGGAACCACTACACTGGTCTGTTAGTCCAGTTGTATCATCCCAATCCGTCATGCTATGTTGTACAGACGTGTCAACCAAGACAACCCAACAACATCCAGACATCGAGACCCTTATAGAAGTCTGGGGAGGATCTCATCAACTCTCTGGTCTCTGCCTGCTCAAATTTGATTAACTGCCACAACAAGATCAGCCTCTGTGATTGAAGAGAGCTCGCCCCTGAAAAGGCCTTTCCCTCTGCATCTGCTGTGGAAGGCATTTCAGCACGCACGAGAGGATCCCTAGATACTGGAAAGTAGTCTTTCCACAGTCATAGTAAGCAGCATCCTGACCGGTCAGCAGCTTGACCGCTGTCATCGAGGAAGCACTTCGCTACTCCTCGAGAAATCTCTTTCAGGCTGACTGAAAAGCCAACCTCAATTTCTTTTTCCCCCTCAGCTGTCTGAGATGCATTCGGGTAAACTGGTTGATGGCTGTCAGCTTTATACCAAGCATAAAGAACCGGAACTCACATGTGGCACGCCAAAGCTCATGTCAACACTTTTGAACTGCTGCTTAATTGTGTGTTTGGAAGAAACAAAATCACACATTTGTAGTTTTTTTAGCAACATAATGTCATGATTTGCTACATTGCAATGCAACATTCTTATTTGACTTTTTAAAGCAAATCTTACCTACCGTGTTTTTAGATACTACTACAAAATCTCTTTCAGGCTGACCGAAAAATCCTCCCATTCATTTTTCTCCTCAGCTGTCTGAAAAGTCTTTGTAGTTATTACTACAATACTGCTACATGCTTCAATGTGAACGATCATTTTCTTTTCTGTGATTCTTATGAGCATATGAGAAAGGTAGCTCTTTTTGTCTTGTAAGCATTTCATCTATCTATTTTCTGTGGTATTTGATCTTTTTAGTCACAATAAAATACCACCTTCTCTTTCAATGTCCAGCATAATTATTAAGCTGTTTGTAGGATATCTACATAGTAATCAGTTCCTGTAATTATACCCCAAAATGTCCTGTTCCCAGACCTGATGGTGACCCAGAAACATAATCAACAGTGATCTGTGTAACTCAGCACCACCCAATGATTATTAAGCCTAAAGACATGAAGTCATCGTGTGTCATAGCAACAGTGTTTTGCTCCACAGCAGGAACCTGCAGTTTCACGATAAAGGCTCAGTATGGTGACATGGCTACGACGTCTGAGCTCCAAAATAAGTCAAACAAATATATACACTTCTTCAAATCTCAAAATGTATTTCAGAAAGTGATACTGTCACAACAGTGACACAGCACAACTGTGACATGTTGAGGAAAAAAACATGGGGGGGGGGGGATTTTACGCCATGGACTTTTGCATCAATAAGCAACTTTTTCCTTTTTTTTAAAACAATTTTTGACCGTCTCATTAGGTGGTCAGTTTTCAGTAACAGATACATGAAGACAGACATTTAACTTTACATGCATACTGCATTAAACAGGTGTTTCCCTGTGCAAAACAGATATTCACCTCTATTTGACATAATTACTATTCGGACATGCAGACAAACATGAACCTTTTTTGATTGGACAGAAAATGCCATTAATACAAACCACGTTGGTTAGACACAATCTTCAGAGTTTTTTAAAACTTTATTAAAATCATGTATGATCTGTAAAAGAGAAATAGAAATAATATAGCCATATCCAACCATTCCCCGAAAAGCCAAAAGAATAATGCAGAGTGAACGGTATTCTTGCTGGCCTCTCTTTTTTTCTTTAATCCCTTACTTATATCAGTGACATATAGTTTTGAACCTTTGAAGCTACTTTGGCTATTCTATATGTGTTAAAATTGCTGAACTTCGAGCTTCCAGCCGAGGTAATTTATCTTTGGGCGCAGAGTTTTGGGCCTATCTCAGCAGCTTTTCAGCGTGGTGAGGGGGTGCTTATTAGTCTGTGATGGAGCCGGAGTGGACACGCTGAGGTGATGCTGCAGAACACAACCGGGACAGCTAAGGCTGAGAGACAGCAGCTCCCTGCTGACTCCAGCATTGCGTGGCAGTTATGCCCCCCGATCATTGTCCAGTCCCGCGTCTAAAACGACTGGACTCTGGGAAACGGTAAACAAATAGAATATAGTTCTTGTGGATACATTATTAGGTTTAAGCAGAGCTTGCAGGAGCTTTTTAGTAAAATATACTGATGTTTTACCTTTTAGATTTTAAAAAAAGATTTCACCTTCTCTGCATTTTTCAGCTTCAAGTGACCCAATTTTTCTTAAAAATGGGCCAGATGTTTAAATGGGTGACATCTGAAATGTAGGCCGATCAGGTTAGAGTGAGCGCTTTTACAAACATGTGCTCTGATATCCTATCGCTAAAAAAACGAGGTCTTCCATAATTGATAAACAGTTTACACAGCAGCCAAAGTTGTGTATGTAAATGTTATCCTCTCCATGAGCAATGATTTATGATTATCTTTGTGTTTATAACAAACTGGACATCCCCCTGACATCGGTCTACTTATGGTTCTTTTTTTACTCATTTTTGTAGATTTTTGTGTCACTGGCTTTAAATGCAAGTACAGTGTATACAATGATGTATAATATTATCTTTACAGTATTTTTCACACAGGTATATAACACATCAGGTCATTTAAATTTAAGGATTTCGAAAACACTCTTTTTTTAATATGTCTTCACAGTTTTCACTTTTTGTTTTCACATTATTTGCTGTCTTGCACCACCTCATCCAGCTTCCAAAACTGCGTATCTTCTGTGTCTTTTCCTCATTGATTTTTTTCTTCAGACTTCCTAATTATTTACACACCTCCCAAGAGGCCTTTCATTATTTTCAATCAGCCTGAGCTTTCCAGTGAACCGGTCCTGTGGTGATCTATGCACGTATATGGTGTTATACTTTGGCCTTTGTCTGAATGCAGTGCTTTTGAGAGTTCCTAAGATTGTTTACAATGCGGTGCCTCTGTCACAGTACGCTCTGTCATGAGTTATGGTCTGGTCAACCTAAAAAACAGCAATCATTTAATGAATGCAGGCTTCCTAAAATGGATCATTCTTAAAAATAGCTTCTCTTAATTCTGGACTTATTACCGGAATGTTTATTCATTACCTGGAATGTCTCTACTATTGTTGGTGGGCTACATATTTTCCACAAGTAGAGCAGCACATGGTGTCTGTTCTGTCTGAAAGTGTTTCAGAGGAGCCTTTATTTGAATAGTTTAATGGTGATTATCAGACATAGAATTCAACAAAAATTGAACAGCAGCACAACAACAATTCAGCCTCTGGGACACTAGATTGCTGTGTAAGTTTAATGGTGATACACCCCATGTGAATAGAGCTTTTTGTCTTTTTTTTAGTCACTGTGACGAAAAGAATCCTCTACAATGACTCAGCTTCTGGCCAGTGTTGCATCCCTCTCTTTTATGCTGTGGTTTCTGGTTTTGGAGCGCTGTGATATTTCCTCATCGATGATTAAACGGCAACATGTTCCTCTCGGCTGTCTTTAAAAAGTTCAAGCTCATGAATAAAGGTGACACATATTCGGATGTGAGCTGGTAGTGTTTGAATGAAACCTGCTGACCGTGTCTGAGTCTTCTGGTGTGTAACTCTGTGGCACGTGATTACCACAGTACACTACTTTCTTACTAAAACTGAGCTTCTACTCCACATTATTTGCCGTTATTGCTGCTTAAATCACTGTATGGAGTTCCTCTGACTGTACTGTCTCTCAACAAGTGTGTATCTTTCATTCCAAGAGGAACTTGAATGAGACAGTTTGTTGGAAAATATATAGTGTGGTGAGACTATTCATAATGCATGAGCATGATCATTCCACTCCTCATAAACTAGATAAAGCATATGCTTCCTCTTTTTATATGAGGTCTGGTCATGTTGTGGTGACGTTGTGCTTTTCACATGCAAGATAACTAATTTTTTTGAGCATGACCTCAGTTTGGATTGTAGCGGTTTCGTTTTGGATTTTTTCCTTGTAAAGGCTTGGCAGTGTTTAGCTTCGCTTCCTCTCTTACTCGAGCTCTCCATCTGTTGTACCTTTAGTGTGTGCCATCCAGAGTAGAGGGAGGCTGCCAGTGGGCAGACTGTTTACATATATTTGCAGGTTCCTCAAGTGCTGCACAGAGGATTCTCAGTTTGTCATAACTTCTGTTTTCAGCATATTCCCAGACAGCACACATACATTCAACGAGTTGTGCTCTCGTGATTTGATAATTTAGTTTGCTGGTGTTCTTTTCACACTAGAAAAATATCATTTTGAAGTTTTAAATTTTTGATATGGGCCCTGTCCATATTTCTTGCAGAGTACGTCTTGTCCAACTATTAATAATTCAATACGGTTACCAGTAACTGTCTTTATAAGAAAATCCTTGCCAACAAATTTAGAGCACTCTTTTAAGGAAGGGTGCAAACAAATAATCATTGTTCTAAATGATTATGGTTTTCAAGTTATTTTACACCTTTTTTGTTATTGTTATTATTTCCAGTGAAATAGTTTCTTTCTTTTCACTTCACACAGTTCAGGGTTGGGGTGGAGGGGCTATCCATCTCTCATCAGACAAGAGGAGTTCCACTTTAAACATGTTCCTGTAATACTCAACATATTTCGGTTAGGTGGGAAACTGCATATCCAGACTGCAGGGCTGGCCGGCATCATGTAGCCGCTAAAGAATGTAAACTGAAGGAAAGAGACCGTGTGTTTGACCACCGGGGCTCATCCATCCTGAGGTGCGTGTATTTAAGTGCTCGCGTCTGCCTGTTTGTCTCAGTCCCTGCATGCGTTACAGGTTAAAGCCATCCATTAAACTATGTTTACAGTGTGCAGGGTTGGAGGAACTCTTTGACGCTTGGCCAGATTCAGCCTCATTAGTCAGGAAGGTGTTCGAAATCTTCCGCCTGTCAGCGGCCAGCGGGACTTTACGCACGACTTCTGGGATATTGTGTTCCTCTGTTGTTGTTGTGCAATCATTACAATTCTCCACATTCCTGTCCTCTAAGGTCCTTGTAATTTCCAGTAGTGAAGTCACTGTCATGGTGTCAGGGAAACCAGAAAGAGACCAACATTTGTCTTCAAGTCATAGAAGCCTGAGAAGTCTCTTTGAGGCAGTATTGGTTAAATCTGTCATCTATATGGACAATGTACATGAAATTAAGTACATCCTGGCCAGTTGACAATTTTAACCAAGAAAAAGTATTTTAAAAAAGTGTCTCAATTGTTAATGAACCCCCTGTACACAATTATAACTTATCTCTGAAACAACTACTGAATAGTCTTCTCAAAGCACACAGAGCAATGTTTGCTCAAAAGGCTCTAATCTTAATTATCAATCCTGTTTCGTCAACAGTGTCGAATGTTAGGGGGTTCAAAACTTTTATTGTTACCATTAAGTGATGTGTGAAATCCATATTTAGCTCCTCCCGTGCGCTGCGTTGAACACACGTTCACAAAGATTGTCATTAAGCGTAATTGCCTCTTCAGTGCTGCTCCTCAGGTGAAGCGATGACAGTGGTGGATGTGCCACTTTGTTGTGGGCAGGTGTCTGCGGATGAGCTGCATCAGAGGAGCCCGACTGGAAATGGCCGGCACGTGCTGAATGTGTCACTGGAAGGAAGAGGCACGTGTGCCTAGGTACACGAGCCACGGTTTAGACTGGGAGAGGGGCGAATGCTATCATTGGTTACTTTCCAGGTTGCCACATAAACAGTATCCTCTATAAACTCTAAATGGGACATGATTAGAATACATTGGCATTTGTTCTTGTGAATTTTTCAGCTGCATTGCAGCACTCGGAAGTTTAATTCTACAGAAATATCTAGTTTAACCATACCTGTTTATACCAGTATCTTGTAGTTTTAATTTTGTAAGGCATTTTAGAAGGGACCCTAGAATAAAAAAAACTCAAGTTAAGTGGTTTTTATAATATTAATTTCCTCTTTATCACCATTTTCATATGACTCATATGACCTAATGCATAATCAGGCCCCCAGACAAGAGTTAATAAATCAAATGTACAATACAGAAATGATTTACAACATTCCAATATCATTCAGCTGTGTCTGTCAGAAGCATGTGAACCTACTGTGATGCCAATGTGCCGCAGTGATTATATCTAAGCGTTTCAGTAACTGCTGCACATCAGATTGGACTCATTTTAGCCCATATTTGCACACAAAGGAGCTTTCCTTCTGGGTGTTTGTGAGTTTCCTTACTGCATGGTTGTATTTGGGCCATCACCAACATGGAAACATGCTGGCAATAGCCACATTGCACTTATGCTGAGCACTATCTGCAATTTAGTTTGCATGTGCTGGCTTATTAACTCTGAATACAAAGTTATTTCACAGATAATAACGATTCCATCAGTTTGGCAGACCAGCACATTTTGCAGATGATGCCGCTTTTGCAACTCAAAAGGATTCTTGTAAGAGTTTCTGAAAGAGGCTAGCATTTACTACACAACGAGCTTAGTCACTTTAACTGTGACTGTCTCTACAATTTTCCCTCTAGCTTTAAATGTGAAAAGTTGCTTTTGTCTGCTCTGACCTAGATGGAATCTGCAAAAGGACGCCATTTAGAAAGTAGTTCCTTCGCAGAAGTAGGTTGTCTTACAGAGGAAAACTTTTGCCTCCACAGTAACACTGCAGGGAGCGTTCTATATTTATACTTGTAAAGAGAACACTGATTGTCTTGTTCTGTGACTATTTGGCCAGATAGATATCCTGCAAAGATTACCCTCAACTGGGTCTCTGGCAATGTTTTATATCAGCGTAGAGTCATTTTATTAATTTTTCATGGCCTATGAGTTAGTGGTGACAGTTAGGAGATGAGGTTTAGTTTACATTAATGTCTTTGAACTATGAGTTCCTCCCAAATGTTTAGCCAGAAGAGCATTTATCAGCCTTTCAGGGACCACCTGCAAAGAAACTTAAGTCACTTAAAGACACTGTCTGCTATGTCTGTTGGATCTGGACTCTTTAAATTGTGCTGGTCCAGCTTATTTGAAACAAACTGCAAAAAAGGCTTAGTTACGTCTGACATTTATTCAAAGAGCTTGATTGATTAAGGAAAATATCATATGATCTTCTGTGTGTCTTCTTATTATGAAAATGGCGGGTAAAAGCTGAATAAGTTGCTCCTAAATAGCATAAAACAGCTCTGATGTTTTGGAAGTAGGGAGCAGGTTGTGGCACGTGAACTCTGGGTGACTGCCATGTGGCTCCAGCACCGTCTTGATGCACCACTACTGTTTGCACACCTAATGACGGCCTGTTTTCTCTGGCTGCTGTGAGTAACAGGGGAGACAGAGAAAGATGCTGCATAGTGAGGACGCAGCGCAAAGGAAGCTAAAAAAAAAACTGCAGAGAAAAAGAAATGGAGCGGCCACCCGAAGGAGAAACCAGATGATAAAAGAGGAATTTTTAGAAAAAATTGGGGAGAAGCAGATTGGGGAGGGGGCTAGGGGGGGGTTCAGTATCACTGGGTAGAGCTTGTTCGCCCGCAGATCCAGCAGAGGTGCGCCTGAGCAACAAAGCCCTCTGATTGGCCGAGCGCAACGCAGCTCTCTCCCCTCCCCCTCTGAAGAAAGAGGTGCAGCGAGAGCGTCAGACCCAGACAGCTCAAGACTCCACCACTGAAGCAACGCTCTCCCTGAGCTGCTGATGCTGGAGAGCGCACTGCAATAGGATAGCTCACACATCCTCGACTGTCTGTAGTCGTTCAAATAGATGACCGGCTACAATTTACCGGCTTTTAAAAAAAGAGAATCAGCAGCAAATCTGACGTCCTGTTAATTCGATTAACTCGGCTTGGGAGGACGACTCCGGTTTCAACATGGGCAGGCAGGGCCATGACAGCTCTGCTGCAGCTCCAGGGATGCGCATGCAGTGCTCCCAGAGCAAGATGAGCCTGTCGGCATCCTTTGAAGCCCTGGCCGTCTACTTCCCCTGTATGAACTCCTTTGACGAGGAGGACGGAGGTAAGACCACAGCAGAGCAAACGTCCTATCGGCGTAAACTGTCTTGGTGGTGGTGGTGTTGGTCTTTGAGGAGTTTGATTTAATGATTATCACATGGTTGTGTCTATACTGAAGGTGAGAGGACCCAGAACATTTTGAGAGATGGGTAGTTGGATTATTATGACTGTGATCATGATTTATTAACAGAGTGGTGTTGAGTTGTACTCTGGGAACTGGGACTCAACATTTGTGCTCAGTGTAGCATGTGAAAGGCATGTGGCTTTTGTTGTTGCTCCTGCTGTCACTGTTGGATTTGTTGAAACATGGTTTTAAAAAAAACAACCTTTGAGTGTGCTGAGAAGCTTCATGGATGCTGGTCTAATCAGATCCCATTTGCCTCTTTGGTTTCAAATCGTATTCTGTAGATGAAAACCAAAGCAGGACAGTACAGAGGGTGGTAGTACATAGTAAGCTGAAGACCATGGCTGTTGGCTATGCGTTCCTGAACAGTGCTGGTAACGCCTATCATTTGTTTGAATTTTTTGGGCTCTCGCAGTTAATAAATTCTTGTTTTGTTTTTAGTGGTCCTGATCAAACTTACAAATGTGAACGTTGTGTTCAGGTTGCATAAGTTGTCTTTTGAGCATGTTTTTTTTCATCAAGTGTACACCGACAGAATTCATTCACTGGTTGGTAAGGGTTTGCATTCATTCTTCATTGATGAGATCCGACCGGCCTCTGATTGGCAGATGTGCGGCAGACGTCAGCGCTGACCTCTGCGGCTGCTTCTCCTTTTGTACGTTCGGAAGAGCGGGAAGGGGAGGCGGAGGCAAGCTGAATAGCAGAGATTTCAAGGCTAAAGAAATCCTTCACGGGTGTTTACTTCAAGTGCACGCTTGTGTAAGACCAAACACAGGATCATCTTTGTCATTTTCAGCTTCTAATTGAATACTCACAAGGATAAAGATGGCAGAACTTTGATTTGATTAGGAATGTTGTAGTCTGGACTCCAGTAACTCATACAAGCTGGCAAATTGTTGTATATCCTCATAGGATCATTACATAAGAACCATGGATACCAATTGTTTGTCAACAATTTGCACCCTTTGGAGCTCAGCGATGGTTTGATGACGGGCGTATTATCAGGATAGGAGGCTTTGCGGTGGTTGCTGGACCTCTGAGAAAAAACACAATCGCTCATTCTACAGTCATTTGATTATAGACAAGAGAAGAGGAAGCTGCTTACATAAAGAGCACAACAACATAATCGAGTACAATAATAAACTACAGTCAATACAGTTCAATACAATAGTCCAATACACTAGTATTCAGAATGGTTTCATTTTTTATGTTAATGTCTTTTTCTATAAGGAAGATTAAAAAAAGAAACATACCGTGTGTGTGTGTGTTTGTGTTTGTTGTATCCGAGGCTGTGTGAAGTCATATACTGCTCAAGCTACATTTTGTGAAGGTGTGTGTGTGTTTCTGCCACCTTTGAAGCCACATGCACACTGGCTCTTGATGAGCAGCGTGCTGGATGATGAGGAGTGGCAGCTGTCTTCTTGGATCATTTAGGACGGTGGAGCTGGACAGTAAAGGAGAGATTTGAGGGTAGTAGGCGATGTCTGGAGGAAACTGTGATTGCTATAAGATCAGAAGGCAGTGTGTACACGTAAATGAACCAAATATGTGTTATGAGCTCTCCTCTGTACGAGCTGATGGAAGCGCTGGGATTCAGTTTTCCCAGGTTGTTCATGTGGATGCAGCGCGCCGCGTCACAGCGTGGTTCAGTCTCATGGATTCATGCTTTCTATCCCCTTTTGTCTCCCTCTCCTCTCTTGCGATGTGCGTTATTGTGTGTGCAGAAGCGGGAGGTAAGAAGCTGCGCAGCACCATCCAGAGGAGCACGGAGACGGGCCTGGCGGTGGAAATGAGGAGCCGGATGACTCGACAGGCCAGTCGGGAGTCCACGGACGGCAGCATGAACAGCTACAGCTCCGAGGGAAAGTAAGGAGACACGGATGTGGTTTTTTTTTGTTTCACATAAAAAGTGATCGGTTCAAAATCAGACTCCGCCACAACTTTTGTTCAGCTTTTTGTTCGGATGCTTTTTTTTTAAAGTTTCACACGATTCTAAACGTGGTTTTTCTGGTATGTTTCAGCCTCATCTTCCCCGGCGTGCGGCTGTCCTCGGACGCGCAGTTCAGTGACTTCCTGGACGGCCTGGGCCCGGCGCAGCTGGTTGGACGTCAGACGTTGGCCACTCCACCTATGGGTGAGATGAATAATTCTATTCTGAAGGAACATATGCCTCTTTGAAAAATATCTATCTTTTCTGTTTCTTTAACATTTGAACTATTTCTTCAGGAGACATCCAGATCGGCATGGTGGACAAGAAAGGAGCCCTGGAGGTGGAGATCATTAGAGCCCGTGGCCTTGTGGGAAAACCAGGTTCCAAGGCACTGCCAGGTAATTCAAACACTCCGACCGGCTAACGTTAACTCTCATACCAGGAAATCATTGTTCCCAGCCACACAGAGTAGCTTCCTCCTTTACATCCTCGTTAAGTTTTATGGATGGAAACTGGTTTTCTTTTGGGGAGAAAAGGCTATTCTTTGTGGCCATATCTGTATTATGAAAATAAGGATGAGACCAGAGGCTGGGCAAACTGTAACCACTCTTTTTACCTCTTCCTTATTTCCAGCACCATATGTAAAGGTCTACCTTTTGGAAAATGGGGCCTGCATAGCCAAAAAGAAAACTAAAGTAGCAAGAAAAACCTTGGATCCTCTTTACCAGCAGCAACTGCCGTTTGAAGAGAGTCCGGGTGGGAAGGTTTTACAGGTAAAAAAAACAAAACTAAACAAATATTTTTTTGTACCAAGTCTACTAGTAATTAAATAAACTTTAACACTAACCTCTTTATTTGTATTATGCAGGTCATCGTATGGGGTGACTATGGACGTATGGACCATAAATCCTTCATGGGAGCAGTCCAGATACTGTTAGACGAGCTGGACCTGTCCAACATGGTGATTGGCTGGTACAAGCTCTTCCCTCCGTCCTCACTGGTGGACCCGACTCTGGCCCCACTGACCAGAAGAGCTTCCCAGTCCTCGCTGGACAGCTTCTCTCGGTCATAGCAGCGCGGGGAGGAGCAGCGTTGTTGTAGCAGCGGCCAGTGTTGCGGTTCCAGGTCACACGCCCCGGTTACACTGCATGCTTGATGTTGTGTCTTCTGAGCCTGTTTCTAGGGGTGCAAATGTGATCCTGTGTTTTGAGCAAAAATGTTGCGCACATTGTGCACGTGGCAAAGTGTGTCGCAAGCACCCGGCGGCTGGGATTGCCAGGTGTCGTTACGGAGGAGGCCGGAATGAACTCCTTAGCACGAGGAAATCGATCAGTTCCAGGTTTTTCTTCCAATTCGAAGCCATGGGGGCCAATACTGGGAACCAAATAAACGCGTTCCGCAGTGGCCCTTTTTCGAATGAAAAATCAACGTGTCTCTTTGATTTTATTTGGATTTTCTTTTCCATTTGTATCTTTGGTTTTTCTTTAAACGTCAGTGTATCCGTGTCTGAAGAGGGGTGACAGAGTTGTCAGATGCTTGGTCACACCATGCCAACAAGACCTAGCTGTTGCTAAGTGCAGTTTTGGAGACCACTGCTTTGGGTGTGGTATACAAGCCCCCCCCCAAAACAAACAACAACAAAAAGCTCTACATTCTCTGGGTTGACGTGCTGATCAGCCTGCTCTGGTGAATGACCAGTTAATCAGGGGCAATATTGAAGTGGCCACCATCAACACTCCAGAATACACAGGAACAATCCCAACCCCATAAAAGATATACAATCGTCATATTTCTTTATTTGTTGATATATTGTATAAAAATTAAATGAGAAAAAGACTATTTTTTTCCTTTTTAGTTTATTTGCATGGGCACAAATTTAGCTGATTAAAAAAAAAAAAGCAACTTTATTTTCTTGAGGCTGCAACTTGCAAAAAAAAAGATGAAGAAAAATAGATAAAACAGATCAGCCATTTTCAACAATTTATATTATTTTTAAAGATAAATTTCACTAGTGCATGGTTTTCAAGGGGAGTGAATGCAACATTGTGAAAAAAAGACATTGTTTACCATTCTTTAGACCATTCATGAGTCTGTGTTTTGCAGACGTGCAGACAAGAGAAACTTAAAAGAACCTTTTGGAATTATTAAAAAAAAATGTTTATGTGACAAGAGGTGATAATGAAAATAAATGTAAATGATTTATTTCATTGTAAAAGGCGCCTGCCTTATAAAGATAAACATTATGTGCAAATTTGTACGTTTCTCTTTTTCTTCCTCGTTCCAGGGTACTTCTCATCGTAGTATTCATTGCTACCATTGATCAGTCCTCTGACCTCGTCCAGATTCGGTTGCTTTACAATTCTGGATGGTTCCATCATGTCTTTTATTTGATTTCGATTTGATTTGTTTTAACAAGCATGTTGAAAGGGATTTTCGACAACATGTCTTGGGCACACCTTACAGTAACTCAGCATGTTTTGATAAAGATGATATTTGGAATTTTTGCAGTTTCTTGTACAGTGCATGACAACTTTATTACTTTTCTCCCTCACATTGAATTGAGCAGCAAATTAGTAGTTGGTCTTCCACGGCCGGTTATTTGAGGTTTTAAAAAACATTCCACCCCCCCAAGGTCATGTTTTCGTTTGGGTTTTTGATGAAAAAAAGAAAACAAGAAAAATATTTTATATTCAATGGAGGCTGGCCACATAGTTGTGATTGCAAGCATATTTTATTTCAGTATTGTTAACAAACATGCAAAAATAATCTGAACTGGTACAGCAAGAGGTCTACACCTAATCAAGAAGCAGCCAACTTGCAAGAAACGTGCTGCTATGATTCCATTTTACAGGCACTGGGAAGATGAGCAAACCATAGGTTAAAAAAATAAGGGATATTGCCACAGAAAAAAGTTTTCTTTTTTTGGTTTCTTTGAATGAAAATGAAATTAATTTACTATATTTTTGTTAATTTATTTGAAAGCCAAGACCAGTTTATTTTTTATTTTATATTTTTAGTAATTATAGATGCTTCTCGTGTTTGGGAAGTATATGAATCTTATAGTTGCAGTATGTCTGAATGAACTTAAACTGAGGCATTATTCCTTTTCCACGTGCAGATGATGCATTTTAATGTCTAAGAAAAACTTTGTTGCTGTAACAGAATGCAGAATATATTTTCATTTTGATCTTCATTTTCATTGTACATACCTTTAGATGTCAGGATTTGAATAAACAATCTACCAGAAACCAGTTCATGGACTCTTTGGGAACAGGAAAAATGCCTCATGATGACAAAGACATATGTTATTTATCCTTTTGAATGCCTTTTGATTTTCTCTTTTTGGTGCAATGTGTTAATGCCAAGGCTATGTCTTGGTTGAGTATGGTTGAGTACAGAGATTTATGTAAGTTATTTTTCAAATTAAAAATAAAAAAAATTGATATTACATTGATGAAGAGTCGGGTGGTTCTACAAATCTACACACACACACACACACACACACACACACACACACACACACACACACACACACACACACACACACTGCACTGTCACAGTATATAACAAAGACACAGTATATAAGCAGTACAACATCCTTCCTGGCCCCGGTCCTCAGAAACCAGATTATTTCTCATGCACCATTAATGCATGTACTATAATTGACTTATCCTCTTGAGCCTTCTCTTTGCTCAAAAGCATCAATAATCTCCACCTACTTCATACTGACACCCCACCAACTGATCACTGAGTTCAGTTCACCTCTGGAGATTTCCTCTCAAAGCAAATGAACCCAGATCCAAAGCTCCAGCTGCTAAGCGACATTCATGCTCTCTGGCAGTTGAGCAGGAGAGCTGAATGTCAATGGAAAAAAAATTAGGTTCATTTTGCAGCTCCCTGACCAACTATCAACAAACTCTAAGAAGCTACAGGAGAGAATGGCATTGTCTCAACTACTGTATTTTCTCACGAAGGCCTCCTTCACACAATCACATTCTTAGTCACACTTTGAATCCATTTCTAATTTTATGTTGCTCTCTTTATTAAAGGACATTAAATAAGCTTCTTTGGCCCTTTTTTTTCTTACCCAATTTCTTTCGCTGTTAGTACACAATTTTTTTAATTAATAAATACATTTTGACCAACCAAGGAAAAGTTTCTAGGCTTCTGATTCTGACCAGATTTTTTCTCTAAATGTGCATGCTATGCGCATCTTTTCTCTTAAAGCAACGACAGCTTAGTAAAAATATCGTCAGGTGTCATAGGTCACGATAGCCCAGAATCAAACATATTAAAAGTCTCCATTTACTTGATCTAATCAGTTAATCAGATCTTATCAGTTGTGTAGCCTTTGATATGAATAATCATAATATAATAATAATATTTTTGAATACGACCCACTTGGCATTCAGTTCTGTTCTGTAGTTCACATTAAGATTTCAACATCTTCAAGAGAAACTTCAGTGTACATAAATTTTCTCGGAGCAATCAGCCAGTCACCTTCAGCCAGTCTGCAGCTGGTTCATAATTCACCACCAGACTCCTAACTACCAAATACAGTTTTATCCTCTGATAAACTGCCTCCAGTTGTCCAGCCAAGGTCAGTTAATAAGGGAGATTGTGCATTTATGGTGGTGATGATGAAAACCATTTAGAGGAAATGAGAGCAATAGGCAGCTTTTAAAACAAAAATTAGAAGAGATTTATTATCTTTAATGTTTAAGCTTATTAATCACTCTTTTTCCTGTATTATTTCTGACTTTTTAAGGATGTTGTTTTTGGTTAACGTATATTTTTGCTTTTGAACTATTTCAATCCCTTTTAACTTTGAAACTTAAAGATAAACTTATAGATACATTTAGTTTAATTTGAATTTACATGTTAGAGATTTTACTACTGATTTTGTGATTTTGTGAGTTTAGTCACAAGGACATTGCGGTTCTCTTCAACCTGAGATTTTCAAAGCACTTTGACCTTTTCTCGCTTGCATTCCGGGCTGGTACTGATGAACCTTTGCACTGCAACAGTGTCGGGTAAGAGGTCAGAGTCAGCATGGTGTGGTAAAAAAAGATCTGCAACAACACGTCTGAGCCGGTAATACAGATACGGGGATGGCAGAAGAGGCACTGTGGAACATTGATTTTGACTTGATGTGTTTAAGCGAACACACAGGTGGGAATTCTGTTTGACGTGTGTGTTGTACCATAGAGGAGCGGATATTGCAGAAAAAGTGCAACCTAAGGATTGCTGTCCTAGTGAATCAGATTCTTGATGAGCTAAGCAAAAAAGCAGCCATCACAAAGAAAAAATAATCAATAGAAGTGATTTCACCTGAACTATAAAAACAGCTTCAACAAAATTGAGGGTTGCATTGTTAAAAGAATCCATTTTATCCCACACAATGACATTTTCTGACTTTGACCAACTAGCTTTATTCCCTAAACCCCGAAACTGAAACAAGTGAAGTGTTGTTTTGGTAAATAACTGCAAATCCAAAGAAAAAAGGGTCATATGTTACTCTTGAGCTTGTGCCACCGATACTCATCTGTTAGATACCAACTCTTCTTCCCCTTCCTTATAAGGATATTACAACGTATAGAATGAAAAGATCTGGGAATGACGTTGCTCTGATGCATGAATGGTCACTATAGGTCCTCTTCCTTCCTGCTGTTTTGAGGATATTCAGTATTACAGTCTTAAAGCGACTGTTCACAGGAAACCGTGTGGAGTGTGTTACACTGTCATAATTTGACTTCATGTGCGGCTCCGTTTACTTCTGCTTTTTGGTTAAAAAATAGGCATGACTGATATATGACTTGTGACTGAGGTTTGAGCGGTAGGAGGAGGTCCTGCTTACGTGCTATAAAGAGACCAAACACCGAACGCATCACAACACGCATAATACATCAGGTTTGTGTTTTAAAAAAGTGAAGACCATTTTGACGGATTTTGACATAACAGCCCTGCCGAGCATTTAAATATCTGCACCAGAAACTCTGTTTCCAATTCTGTGTTACGTCCAGGATGCTGCTCCTGTGGATTAACATCAGGCAGAGTTTGGAGGCTGGCATTTCTCTGCTTGTGGACGTCTTCACCACTGGCAAAAGAGATGGCTGGACCAGGACGATGGCCTTCCTGTCTGTGTGTGCTTTCTTCGGCCTCCTGCTCAGCTCCCTCCTCTTCCTCTACCTCTACTTGACTCTGAACTACCAACCAGCTGTGGCGGTGGCGTTTTCTGGATGTTTTGGGATTTTAGTGACGGTCGCCCTTTCCCTGTCGAAGAGAATAAGGTGCTTCGGGGCTCTGTTTGTAATATCCATTTTCATGAAGAAGAGTCGGAACCTGCTGCTGACCGCCGGGACCAGCGTGGTCGTTCTGCGGAACATCCGGAACACTCTGGAGAACCTCAGCCGCCTGGTCAGGAGCATGATTTGTAACCTGAAGGCGAAGAAAGCGTCCGTTCTGGCTCCGTTCAGCAACTACATCGAGATGCTGAAGTGGATAGGGAACATGCTCAAAGGGGTGACGGATTTAGGAGTGCTGAGACTCGACTCGCAGCTCAAGGTCTCCCCCAGATTAGAATCGGAGCAGTTCCAGTTGACAATCGGTGAAGCCGAGCGGAGGCTGAACGAGACGGTGAAATACGCCCAGTTCCTGGTGGAGACGGTCTCCACCGTGACCGACTGGACGTTTCCCGTTATCAGCTTCCTGGTGCTCGCCGTGTTTATAGCCCTGCACATGAGAAAATACCTCAGCGACATGAAATACCAGAACAGGTTCATCAGCAGGAAATTCGTCCTTTTTGACGAGAAGCAGAAGGCGCAGGGAAAGCCTCACGTCCTCCCCCTCACGCCTAAGGAAGAGAAGCTGTACACCTCCATCACCTCCCCGCGGCCCAGCACCAAAGAAGGGAAAGCTCTGGCAAAATTCGGAATCCCGGTGGTCTCCCACTTTTTCGCCTGGGTCATATTCATTACTGTGGACGCGCTTTTGTACTGTTTAATCGATATAATTACAAAGAGATTATCGGAACTGAAGCCATTCCATGTCCCACTAATAATAAGTTTCAAAGTAAGTATGTTATTCGTTTTTTTTGACATTGTCAGATATTTTCTCTCACAAGGCCGATGGATCCTAACTCCTGACTGTTTTCAGGGGATTGCGACCTTAATTGGTATTCCGTTCGTGGAGGAAAACCACCAGACGGACTTTTCTTACTCCGTGACTTTGTTTGAGAAGCGGTGCCTGCCTGAGCCGCGGCTGCTGCTGTACGACTCCGTGTTCCCGCTGAGCGCCATCCTGCTCACGCTGCTCCTCATGACGCTCATGGCGGCCAAACTCTCCCAGCTCAGGCTGCTGGTGTGTGAGCAGTTCTTCAGCGCGGCGGCCAGTGCCAGGGTGGAGTACCTGCACCGCAAAATCCTGAGGAAGAGATCCAAAACTGCTGTTGAGAAAAAAGGCCGCAGTCTGACATCACTCGTCATCAAGGTTTGCATTTTAATGTATATTCTGAATTCAGTTTATGTAAGACGTACTCAGTGTACTCACTTGCTGTTCATGTTTCTCTCATCAGCCTCAGTTCTGGTTTCCGTTGTTCTGCCGGCCCAACAGTGATCCGCAAAGTGTTGTGTGACGACACACTTCTCTCTGCTGCACAGACTCACTAAGAACACTTTAACTGACAATATTAGCTCTGGTTGTTCTCAGGATGGTGGCTCAAACCCCATTCCTTGGATTACACTGGGGCCACGCATTAAAGGTGTTATTTACCAATTAAATAAACCCATTTTTATTTGACACCAACACTCAACTGACAACTAATGTCTTTTTTACAGAGACTTTTGAGAGTTAAGAACAATAATTTTGTGAGATAACTGTAGAAATATGCTGCCAATTCAAAGATAAATAGATTATTTCGACATTCATCATGTCAATTTAACACTAAAATGGATTAAGTTTCTCTTAGACTAGTTTCTGTTAGTACTTTTGTTGAAAATGACATACTAACAAAACCTGCACATTATAAAACGTATTAAATGTATTAAATTATTCCGTCTGCCTTAAAATGTTATCTTTGTGTGTATGTTAACAGGACGAAAAAAAGCACATGATTCTCTTCCTTTTTTTTCTGCTAGACCGTAAAGAATCATATGGTGATGAATGTTTATAAAAATGCATATTGTACGTGTTCAAATGCTATGAATAAATGCCAATATGCAATCTTCTACCTCTATTGTGTCATTATTCTCCCAGAAGCTACGATAAGCCACACAATCAGTCAATAGTGAGCCATTCAGTCAACTTTGCCTCAGTAAGAACTTAAATTTGAACTCACCTACATATGACTGTGTGTTTGTTACATAAGGAGGCAGAGGATAGTATTGTGGAAAAGGGGGACTGTCAGAGGTGGATGCTACTTTTTTCTGTGTTCGCCAAGGTGAGTATCACCATCAGCAGAGGCAGTGTGCACAGTTTGTGTTACATCACAGGATCTGATAACCTCCAATGCAGACGCAGCAGCCTGTGTTTTACCCCCCCGCTGTGACGCTGAATGCAGCGAATCGAAATGTTCTTATGTAATCGTTGAAAAATTCCCCTTACATGAGCCGTGAACAGTGCGGTTTTTCTCCCCACTTAAAAGCAAGCTGCCCTGCTTGTGATTAGCATCTTGTGTCGCTTCCCCTCACCATGTGCAGAGACACTAATCAGTCTCAGAGAGAGAGTTGAGGAACAGAAAACAGATTACATAAACCATAATGCTGAAAGAAAGAAGAAGCTGGGCCGTCTAATGTATCCACCTGTTATTTTGCACACATTCCTTCTAATTTCTTGTAAATATGTTTTAAAAAAAGTCATACTCAAAATTATATTTGAGTTAAATCATCTCTTTTTTTATTCATTTAATATTATATTCCAATTAGACTATGGTGAGAATATTAACTTAACCATGCCCAATTCAACACATTATCCCAACTCTTAATGGGGTTGATTATAGCTACCATAATAATTTTTTATGCCACTCATATTGTAAACAGATGTGGTTGTATATGAGTGGAATTTAGTATTATAATTATTTAGGTCATTTGTAAATAAAAAAGGAATATCTATTTGTATTTGTATTTTTGCAGTGGGAGCTATTTTTCATTGATCAAACAAAATCAGCCTAACCTGTATATTCCCATTAACCCCCCCCTACACATCATCCTTTGCATTGTCAGACACAAGAGGAAGGAAGCGGGCGGGCTGAAGGATGAGTAGGCCTTCTGTGACTCACACCGCCACTGACCCGTGAGAAACCTGATAATCTCACACTATGCCTCCACTGGCCCTGTGGCAGAATGCCACGCCGCCACGCCAACCCGATGGGAGGCCGCCGCATGACAGCCGCAGAGCACCCCCCCCCCCCAACAGGAAGGAGCAGACGCACGCCATACATGGTCAGAGGCAGAGCCTACATGTGAAAACCAGCCGAATGTGCACACTAACCGAAAGTCTGGGTCAGTCGAGAAACCCGTAAGACTCCCGTGTCAGTGCACAGTCATGAATATTTCATCAAAGAGGAGCACGCTTTAGGGTGGGAGACATGGGACTCGTTACCAATGGCAACAAGCGTGGTGGAGAATTAGGGCAAAACCGTTTTTTGCTTTTCTGTGCATTTTAGCTACAGATAAAACCTTTTTTTTTTTTTTCATATGAATTTCTTGATTTCTTTAGTTTGATTGTCAGTTTTTAGTGGTCTGTGTACTGAGAAAAGGAGATTTGGAAGCTTAACACTGTGTGTTTTTGGAACTTTCACATATTCTAAAATGTAAAAACTACTCAGAGGACGTTTATCTTTGATAAAATTGTTTTATAGCAATGGCAGACGCACGGCCGGGCATTCAGAGGCTCCTGCTGTTCTGGGCCAGGTGCTCATAAAGAAATGACTTTGCCTCGGTAGGGCTGTCTGTCCACAGCTGTAGGTCTCCCCACCTGCAAGCAGAAAGACAGTTGAACAGTTTTATGTACAGTGAGGCCTCCAACACAACACAACCTTTGAGATTTGAACTATTTGAGCGCATTGAATGTTTTTGTGGGATTGAGGATGAGCGGGTACAGCCAAGAAGAAAGACGGGTGGAATGAAAATCATGTTAAATGGCAATTAAAGTACAGTCACATCTGACCTATTTGAAATCATTAATATCTGCTTTTGTTGAAGGTTTTAGGTCCTGTACAGATCATCAGCTCGCCTCCTTTCATCTGTGCTCATTATCCTCAGCTGCCCTCACTCACTAGTCATTCCCCTCAGTACTTCAATTCCATGGTTTTTCTCAACTCTTTTCGAAAAATCCTCACCGATGTCACCACCGCTTTTCTCCCTGTCGCACCAGGTTTCCGTGTTGTTTTTGTACTTTTGGGCTAAATCAGTGTTTCTAAAGGGCCAGTGTTTTCTAAACCCTGGTTCCTGAGCGTTCTCCAAGTGTTCGTACTAAAATAAACCTTCCTCAGATGACTTTTTCTGCAAAGCTGAAAGAGCTGAAGGGCTTCTCCATTCATCTGAATCTGAAACCCACAGACACATATATCCTGGGAACACCGGTTTGGTTTCTGTTAATGGTTTTTGTATCTGAAGTTTTTTTCTTTTTCGGATTTACTTTAATTTATGTTGAGCTCATCTCCTCCAGTTGTATGAAATATCTGCATTGTGGTATACTTCCTTGCCTTACTTCACACACAAGTGGCCAAATGGGGTCATTTTCAGAGAAAAGGGAAACTCCTATAATATGTAGATTTCATTAATTAAACAGGGGGTCTGGAGTTTTCCACAAAATTTGATATTTAAAAGTGATCTTTTTTGAGATAATGTACATAACGGGTTTTAGGCATGTGTCCATCATCTGTTCTTTTAACTAATGTTTTTTACATTCAACAGGAACGGCAAATATTAAGTTCTAATGAATGAGGAGCGAGGGGGCCAGAGTTTATTTAAAAAGAGATTTGGAGCAGTGAAAGGAGGCCAGCAGTGAGCCATAGCTGCTATTTTTAAAAAAATTGTTGGATTTTGTGTCAGTGAGAGCAAATGTGGGGACTGACTGACCTGCTCTCGTTGCTTGATTCTTTTGTAAACAAATTCAGAAAAAGGCTGTCTGTGGATAAATCTGCCGTGGCCCGGTGACACCTGCAGCTGCCCGTTCTCATAGACCACTTTGCCTCTGGAAATAGTGACCACAGGGACACCGTGGCACTCCATGCCTTCGAAGATGTTGTAGTCCACAGCCTGGTGGTGCGTCTTAGCTGAAATTCTCCTGCAAAGTCAGAATATTATTTTAGAACTCTTGGTCACGTACATTTTTTATGACAACTTCATTTCAAATTGGCCTTATCTGGATTGAATCCATACGGTGTATCATTTGCTTGTTTTTTCCCCCATTGCTCTCTCCTCTAAAAAACACACAACCTAAGCCTTTTGCAAGCCAATGAAACTGCACTTAAACATTTTCATTGCCTCTTATTACATCACCGCGCCATTGATCCAAGGCTGCTGCATGAATATTGCCGCATAGGATTGCTGCAGAGCCGGTTTCGTACTTGAAAAAAATAACTCTGCCTGTTGGAGTTGGATTTTGTGATGAATGAACTTTCTGGATAAAACATAAGGGAAGATACGCTTTTGTGTTTTCATCCAAAAAGTCCAGTGCCACGCATAACTCAAATGCAATTTAGCTGAAATACTACAAAACTATTCTTTTTGTGTGAATATCCTCATCCTTGCAGCTATTCCTTAAAGAACCATATTGTGTAGTGTACATCCATCCCAACAACAGATGGACAGTTAATTCTAATCTCTTCAGATCCCTGCAAAGGCCATAAAGTCACTGCCAGCGGTGCTTCAAATTAAGTGTTTTTATTATATGTAATTACATTTTATATGCACATGTTTAAGTTTCTCTAACCCAGTTTTGTACTGACTACAATAAATTAAATGGATTGTAATGAAGAATACTGGATACATTGGAAATTATTATTATTATTTTTCGTCTTTATAGGAAACCTTTGAGCTCTGGCTTTCAATATAGGCATCTTGACCGACCGAAAAATTTGACCAATGTGTTACACCACACAAATGCCTTAAAACATTATTGCTACCCCAATTCTTTTGCATTTTTACTAAGTTGAAAGTACCCAATAGCAGCTCTGGTCACGGCAGCCTAATGAACAGTTGAACCAGCAAGTGTGCTTCAGCTGTGACTCCAAATCTCTTCATATCTGCTTTTTTATGTCTAATTATGTCCTGAATAAAATTGTATGGCTTTTGAGTATTTTCTTTTGTTTCACTATTGGAGGTCTCTCTCTCCCTCATTTGTTCATTCGCTCAACGTTTTGGCATCGCTGAAGATAGCACGAATGGCTGAGTTGGAGCGTGGAGTTTACAAAAGGAAGGCACGTTCTATTCCTGTTAACAGATTTCGCAAGGTTTTATGGCTGAAACATCTCATTTGAAACCTAGTTGGGGAGAGTAACCCAAAAAAACACCCTGGTTTGTGGAGATAGTTCCTGTAGTCAAAATGTAGGTTACCTGAATATTATGAACCACCCAAAGAAACTTAGTAAAACCTCTTATGATGACAGACTCTTTGGCATAATCTGGCAGAACAATGCATGCTGCCATGTAAATGCAGCTCAAGATGGACACATTGAATTGAGCAAAGCCCCGAGATGCAAAACTGTCTACACATTTAAATTTGAATAAGATTTGTCCACTAAAACAAAAAATAAGAAACAATATGGCACATAGGGGGAACATACCTGGACTTTCCCCAGCTAACACAAACAGTGCAGGGTGTGTATTGTTTGCATGGAGTGCTGTACATACATTGCTTTAAACAAGAATCATGCGTAATGTGTTTAACGCTGCATGAAGCTGGCAGCGGTATTGTAATTTCAAGCGTAACCTTTTTTCTAGATGCCCTTCTGGGAAATATGAAATTATTCTTCCTAATAAAATAATGAATTGCCCTGCACAGAGCAGACTGATGATGAATAACAAATTAAACAGCGAAAAACTACATCAGTGCGGAACAGCGCAACAATTCTGACTCAGCCTTTTTCTTTGAAATGAACTGAATCCCCCTTTTTTTCTGCAGCCCTCTCTCCTGCATTCGCACGCTGCATTTCCCGTGTATTTGAAAGTCAAACATCAAGCCCAGTGCGTGCTGACACAAACAAGACGTGTCCTCATTCTTCAAGGAGTCCAATTATGAAAAACGAGGCAAACTGAGAGAGCTTCCCCCAGTGTTTGTGGTTACGCAACTGTTTGTGGCCCCTTGCCCCGGATATTATGAGGCAACACTTGTGCTCAGGGCAGCAGATTACGCTGTTTTACAGATGAATTCACGGCTGCAGCAGTCTAGCACGAAGCACAGCCTATGTATTATGAAGCTATTATGAAACATGCAGACACGAATACATAGTAAAAAGAGAAGACTGCCAGTGAAACAAACAAATTTTGCCCATGGACAACAGGCTGGAGAGTAGCTAAATGAATTAAGCAACTCCACTGCTCTCAGATCCTTCATATAAGCTTGTTTCATGTTACTAGAAATTTAATTTACAACAGGGTGTCATGCAGTCTTTTCCTATTCACATTAGTTCTTAGTGACCTCCCAAAATGGGCTCAGTCGGGTCCCAACAGCACCAACGGAGCAAAGCATGGCCATTCTAGTTACATAAGCCCTGACTGTGCAATATTACTTCTGGAATACAAACTTTCTTGTGTGTCTTTATCTGTGCATTTGCCTCACAGACAAGCGCCTCTGCTCTATGTCTGAGACTTAGTCAGGAGAACAGGAAAATAAAAGGAAACTGTGTATTACGTGATCATTTTCTGTGCCACGAACAGTTTCTACTGCAGTTTGCTGAAAAAAAACCTGAATACGGTCATCAGTGTGAAACATTTGTCACTTCTCAGATCTTCACAGTGAGCCATTAGCATCATCACACTGATGCTGGTTGCATCTATCTTGTGTAAGTGTGTCGAAATCCTTTCCTAAAATACATTACCAAAAACAGACAAGAATTAATCATCCCTGCACTTCTTAACTGAGCGTCAAATTCATATGTAAATTGTGTTACGGGTTTCGTTTGCAGCTGTGGATAAGTAATGACATCCGGACTTTTGGATGCGACACAGACATAATCAGCTTACGAGTGTGTGTGCGCGCACTGAGGTAAAAATACACCACTTCTTTTTTTTTTGTTTTAGATGCTGCATCTGTGCCTGTACGGTTAATACTTTTAGACTCTGCAGCCTTATCATGTTTAACCAAAGCTTTAACCCAGTTAAGGTTTGATTTTTTTTTTTTGAATTGCTGATAGAAATGTTGGAATGTGTGACTATAACGTCACTATAAAATCACTTGAATTTAAACAAAACCAACACAAGGGCTCAGTTTCGGCCTCCCTCGATGCTGAAAAGCAGGTGTAAGAGGTCCTTACCTCGTCATCTTGGGGTCCCATATGACCACATCAGCGTCTGAGTTTTTGGCAATACGGCCTTTCTGAGGGTAGATGTTAAAGATTTTCGCAGCATTGCTGCTGGTGACAGCCACAAATCGATTCTCGTCCATTTTTCCGCTGTGCTGAGCAGAGAAAAACCACACACACACACACACACACACACATACAAACACACACACACACTCAGGCTTTGCTTTCATTAAGGGGACCACATTGGATGACAACAGTATTCAGAAGAAGTAAACAAAAGGCCGGTGCCTAACTGTGCAGAAAGCAACTCATTACTGCCAAAATATCTTCTCTTGTGTGATTTGTAAGTGCTGTTGCGTGTGGTAAATCTTTGCCGTGGCCTTGGGGCGGCCGCTCTGGCGAGGAAACTCTGCAGCCATTTGCAGCTGCCAGAGTTTATTGCCTTTTCTTATTGCCCAAGCACCAGCACAGAAACATGTATTTCATTTTAATATATACCAGGAAAGTGTTGTTATTCAGAGCTGCAAATGCATTTATATGAGTGAATACGGGTAAATGAAAAGGGGAGTCGATATGCAGTTATGACATTCATTAGAACTTGGGATAGATATGAGCATGTCTCCAAAAACATTCCTTGGATTCTACTGAATAATAAAAAGCGGGACCACATGGTGGTTGGACCATTCCACTCACAGCAAGGGCAGGTATAGAAAATAAAAGGATGAGTAATGATTAAATAAATGCACAACGTGTCAATTACAACTTGAAGAAACAAGTTTAAAAAACAACAACACTGAGCTTGTTGTGTTCTACTGTTCTAATCATTAGATTACCTTATTCACTTGCATTTCTTCTATCTATGGTAGAATTCATATGTTCTATTTTTTCATTTATTTGAAAACATTTATGACATCATCCTATGTTTTTTAGAGATCAATTGTATATTCAAATCAAGAAATCACTAGAAATCTAGAGTTTTAGATAGTGAAATACTTCCAATGCGGCCATACCGTGATATTTTTGTTTTAGCTCATAAATCGATCATACTGAATCTAAGTTTGGGCCCTGCTGAGCAATCCCATTTGGCCGTCCTAATAACAAGAGCTGCACACAGTAACTTTTGTTAGAGTGCTCGAACATCTTTGGGCAGCTGCCTGAAGTTCTTCTAAGATATTTAAAAATTGAGTCTTGGATTAGCAGTTGGCTGCTAATGTCTGCTTTTCAGGAGTTTTGACTCAGGGCTGGCTGATGAACTGTATATTTAATATGGACATACCACCCCTTTTTCCCAAATGACAGACATCCTGTCCTCCACACCGTTCACTCCATTTGGGATCTTGGTGAAGTCGTCTTTGCCCAGGGCCTTCTGGCACACAGAGAAGGTGCAATTGTCCGTTCCCGTCACGCTCAGATCATCACTAACACATTTAACAGGGGGGGAAAAAAAGAGTAGAAAAATTGATTGAATGTTACCATGAAGTTAACATATAGACTCAACTGTGAACTCGGTTGTTGATGAAGTTTATTTTAATGAATCTTGAAAAAAAACAGCTTCTGACAAATGAATGCTAAACTCTCCTGCACTTTTTCCTAATTATCTTAATTAAGTATTAAATCTACCTACTTTGCCAGTAGGTCCATAAGATACCCCGGGGTGCTGGGATCGGGTCTAAGGGGAGGACCCATGACAAAGCCAGCGGCATGGGCCCATTCCTTGTGCCAGTAGTGGGAACCGTCAGTGCCTAACCCAGCTGCGATTGGCTCCCCAAAAACCACACGGCCTTAGAAGGGAAAAAGACAGAACTACATTTAGAATTTTGCAACCTTCATTTTTTAACTGTTCCGCATTTAAACAGCAGGGGGCAGGAGCCCGGACCAACCATCCCTGCGTGCATTGGACACCACTTTGGCGGCAGATTTGCTCATGACATGGACCACGTAGAGCGGGCAGTTGACAGCGTGGGCGATTGTGATGGCCCGCTGAGTGGCCTCAGCCTCCACCTCCTCCGGCCGACACATCTCATGACCCTCGGGCCCCGTGATGCCCAAGGACAACATCTTCTTAGCCCCCTGTGGGGTCACAGCGGGGAAAGATAAAACAAAGCAGGATAAAGCTTTAAGATTTCTCCAAAGTAATTACTACAACAAAAAAACTAAGCACACAGTGTGCTTGCAAGAAATAGCTTTAAGCGTGTATATATATAACACTCTACACGTCAGCGATATCACACGTGAAATCTTTTACCAGTGTTGTTTAAATGGACTGAAAATGCATGGCTTTGAATGGATTTGTGGTCTAAATGGTTATGTTTCAATTCAATGTTTAACACTCAAGTGCATCCATGTGTTCCTCACCATGCTACAGCCTTGAGTTACTGTTCTAGTATTTGCCACCCCTTAGTGGTACTTAGCTGCAATTACATGCTATTACAAAAAATACCAAATAAAAAATCCTCTTGAGTAAGCCCTTTGCAACTCTTGGAGAGTTCAAACTGAAAAAAGGTTTTACCTCCTCTCCATACATTGCCTGTGTTTGTTTTGATTTACAACTCTGAATTTCAGATAGAGATTTTTGCTGTGTCTGTTCTACTCAGAACATGGAGTAAAATGTGGCTCCCATCAAAGTAAAACATTAGCTCAGAATTAGCTCTGGGCTGTGGTTTGTTGACACAGAAATTACTTACGCACCACAAACAAACCTGCCTCAATTAAAAAAAAGAAAAAGGAGGCTTTAGTTTTTAAAACCAATTTAGTTAAAGTATTGCTATGCGAATAAAAAAAAATGGTACTCTTAAGTGGAGTGAAAAGTTTGAATAATTTGTTAGACTGCTCAATGATGTGAGAAAGTTGTTTGGACTGTGCAAAAACACCCTTGAGCAGAAAGGGTGGAAAGAAAGAAATAGATGACCGTATTAACATTTGAACATACAAACCTCTGCAATCAGATCTCCGTTCTCAGCATGCACCTGAGCTATAGCACCAATGTCTTTGCACTGTGCAAAGGCAGCGTATAACTCAGAGTCCTGCAGCATAAACACATCTTTATAGGCCATGAACATTTTAAAAGAATTGACTCCTTTCTCTTTGGCCAGAGTCTCCATCTCTTTCTTGACCTGAGAAAGAAAATATTGTGGACAATTAACTCAGTGGAGAGGGGAAGGTTTTTAGAATGGGAAAACCTGCTCTTTTCTCAACCAAAACTGACAAATAACCCCCCCAACTCCTTCACCTTGTCGCCCCACCATGTGACAGCCACATGCAGCGAGTAATCACAGCAAACTTTGGGGTCGGCCGTCTTGCGCCAACATTCGTAGGCTTCCAGAAGGGACTTGCCCTTTTGGGGGATGACAAAGTCCAGGATCATCGTGGTCCCTCCGGCTACGGCAGCCTGGAGAAAAGCACATATTGCCACAGAGATAAAGTTAAAGATTAACGTGCTCACATAAAAGGAGAATGAAAAGAAAAAACAATCAGAAAATATACATTTGATTATTGCCTGTTGGAGGCAAATGTGATGAATAGAGTCACATAAACAGGTACAATGAATAAACGATGACTATTAACTATGTTAATGGGTCTTATAACAAACATGGCTCAATATACCAGGAATATCCTGAATAACTGACTGCACCATGTATTCACTAGTAAGAAAAAAGAAGTTCTATTAGAAAAAAAATCTACTTTCACCCACATACAACATGTTCAAATTCATATGGGCATGCACTGTAACTTATAAAGGCTCAGAGGAGTTTGTACAAACTTCTGGTCACTGCCCTTTAAAACTCTCCATCAAAATAAAGACATTTTTTACATTTTTTATAACTATAAGGAAGAACTTCTTGATTTGAGATGCAATTAGTACCATTACTATTAGAAAATCTTCTAATCACAAACAGGAATTTGGATCAGCTACACAGTTTCATGTTTACTTTACATTTCCAGGTAGTGTTGGAGGATGTGTGCCCCAGTTCACCTTTTTAGTCCCCACAAAGACCAAAAAAGGAGAGAGAAAAAATAAGTAAGATGGCTTACACCCCACCGAGCACACCAAAAGCTTACTATTGTGAGAAATTGTGTTTAATTTTTTATTTGGAGTGGGTTTAATGAGGCACCCAACAGGTATTTCATGGAGCAATAGCATGCATTTAGTCTAATCTTTAAGTTCAGTTCCTGCAAATGAGATAAATGCGTAATTTTGCATCTCACACAATCGAGAGTGGATCAAATAGGGACTCAAAAGCTGCTTGTGTATCCAATCAACCTTTATGTTTTGGCATCATGGCCTAAAGTTGGAGTGTAACATAACGCCGCAGTTCCTGTAATTCCGGCTGAACCTGGAGCCATCACGCACTGCTGCGCCTCTCACCATGGAGGGATGACTTGTTTTAACGCGTCAGCGCCCGTGTGTGGAGACACAGGTATGCAGAAAAGGAAAATGACGTCAAACGTCGCGCATTATGGTTGGTAGTTTATTATCATTATCATTAATTGCCATTAATCTAACCCAGAAGGGGGAGCGATGGCCTCCACCTGACGTGTGTTTTCTCTGATACAGTGCAATCTGACCCTATACTGCACCTTGGTTCCGATGTGAAAATCATCCACTGCCTTGGTGCCCATGAACGCCAGCTCCATGTGCGTGTGCGTGTCGATGCCTCCCGGGATTACCAGTTTCCCAGCGGCGTCTATGACGCGCGCCCCGGCCGGGACCTGGAGGTTCTCACCAACTTCCACGATTTTCCCATCGTGGATGTAGACGTCGCTGACCACAGAGCGGTCCTCGTTGACCACCGTGCCGCCTGTGATCAGGATCCCGCCGGACTCGGCCATCCCTGCTGCGCACTGCTCCGTGCACACTGAGCCGGAGTCTGACTTCTGATCGTTGCGCGTCCGCGCGCCCTGGTCATAGGTCAAAGTTCCGATTTTGCTGAACACTTCAATAATCTGCTGATCTTTTACAAATAAGATAACCAATCATTGAATGTTTATACAGACAACTTTGACAAAAAAAATAAATAAAAAAAACAATCCGTTGGCTTCTTGGTTATGATTATTGAACATAGCTGTGATAGAAAGTTATAATACCGACTTTTTTCAACTTTATTTTAAACCATCTATTTATAAACGACCGATAATCATTAAAATGAGAAACACTTATTAATTTACATTCTTTATTTGTTTTCTCCAAAAAGAAAATACTGGAAAGATTAACTCGTGAATGGTTAACATTGATTAATCAAATAATGTTTTCAGCTTTTGAATGGTGGCTTGATTCAGGGTGTCTGGGGAAATGTTGGAATTAGGGAGTACAATGGGGTCATTAGGGGTCTAATAATTAACTTTTGCACTGAAGCAAACAGTCCTTATCCTCAACATGGCTGTTTCACTGAGCACCCCGTGAGAGCAATATGAACTGAAATGATGGATGTTAAAACTCTCGGTTTGCACATAATGGATCCACTGAAAGATACATTCATGTACAGAATATTGTTTGGTTTCTCAATTGCTGAAAACAGACAATCAACCAACACAATACAAACAAAAATATGAAGAAAATATGATTTAATGTTGTAAAATATTGTTTTTTGGGGGTACTTTTTAAATATTTGACAAACATTTTGTGACTATTAAGATTCCCAGAATGTGTCCTTAGTTTATTCTATGTTTTTTCATTGAGTCCCCCCCCCCACTTTTTTTTTGTTTGGAGAGTTCAAGAACATGTGAAAGCTCCTCTTCTTCGATATCTTATCAAGAATGAGCTGATTTAGCTTCAGACTGGGTCAGTTACCACCTGATATTGTTCTGGAGCGTTATTAACCCCAAACTTTTTTTTTTAAACCATCAGCTTCAGCATTTTTCTTTGAAAGACATCATCTTTCACAGATCATTAACTTTTAGCTATCTATCTATTCTGTGAGGGGAACAATTCACCCCAGTGAGACACAAGTAGTCTAAATAGATATCAGTGGCTTGTAATAGACCACTAGGTCTTGTTATGGTTTACTTAAGTTTTTATAACCTTTCCCAATCCTTATGTTTGTAAAAACACCCATAATATGACAAATGAGGTAAACCATAGGCAAGTAAACCTGCCACTCGCAAACATAACATTTAAGCAATAATGAATAAAAAAAACACCAACAGAAATATTGATAGGTTAAGTAGTGTGGTGTTCTATGGTCTGTTAATGGTGTCAAACCTGTCAGAATCCCTGCTTTAAGGATCTAAACAACATAAGGTGATACTTATTAAGCCTCAGAGAGTCCAAGTGGGTGCAGACAACTATGAACACCGGACCCCAGTGAGGAGTGCATTGTTGAGCCAGATCTGTGCGTGAAGGTCCCGGTGCGTGCAGTTTTTCCAGCACACTTTGGCAGGAGCCAGATGGTGTCAGACCGACCCGGCCCAGCATGGGCGTCCGGAGAGCCAAACCTTAAAACACACAGCGAGCCGAGGGACAGCGAGGAGAGACGGAGCCCGGGGAGGACATACCCCCGGCTGGTCATTTGTGGTCCAGGAATTCAAGCTTTCTTTTCTGTATTTGCCTGATTTTCACGTTGCTTTGTTTCTTGGTAGTTGCTGTTACTTTTTTATATTTTACATCTATCAGTTATAGCTGTAGTTTTGTTAAATTTAAAGATTATACAGTTTTGAGACTGACCTCAGTTCTCCCATCTGATGCCTATCTTTAACCTCACTTATTTAGTCAATCTATACTTCTCAAAAATACTAAAACAACATATCTCAAAACATTTTAGATCTTTATTACATACAGGAATGTGTTTAAATGGCATCAGAATGCCTCCATGTGTCTTTGAGCACTCCAACATCTGGGCATGCTCCTGATGAGACTACAGATGTTGTCATTGGGGAACTCCTCCCAGACCTGGGTCACTGCATGGGTCAGCCTCTGGATAGCCGGTGTTGCTGTGGATTAAACGAGACGTGATGTCCCAGAGATGCTGGAGCAGGGCAGTCCACAGCAGCGATGGCTTCATTGTGCAGGGACTGTTAACACACTCCAGCCGAATGCAACGCAGGCATTGTTGTGCATCAGAAGGTACCCGTCTGCCACTGGAGGAGCGTGTACGTCTGACAATGCGTCTGAGGGTCTCATTCTGGTACCTAATGTCAGTTGGTGCTCCTTTAGAAATGTCTCGGTATCAACACAGCTGATTCAAATCGCTGCAGTGCACCCATTGTGGTGCTCTGTGGAGCTTTTTCTGACTCTTCAAACCTGCTGATCAGTAGGAATCATCAACAGCCCCCTTTAAGGGGCAGTAAGAACTCCAGTCTTCTCCAGATTGCGTAACCTCTGCCTTCTTTGATCATGTGAATTCCTAAGGATCTGCTCTGACCTGTTTTCCAGTGCTGTTTCCTCCTGAGAAACTACAGTTTTCACATCAGTTTCGTTCCCAACTTGAGTGCATTTTTCTCTCTGGCTTATTTTCTTATTTAGTCCTTTTTCAAATATAATATTCTTTTATGCCCTCCTCAAATCTCTGGTCTGCTGTTTTCTGCCTTCAAGGGGTCTTCACAGTCTTCCTCAACTGGCAAAAATGTGCACATATATGAAGAAACTTTGTAATATAATTGATTGTAATTGAACATCTAGGTTTTCCTGAAACATGTTCAATGTCACCCTTTAGGTGCAATGATTTTTTCAAAATTAAAAATATGTTTTGAAAATAGCAGTAGAGTAAATGGCTTGAATATTTAGATATGCAGGATGATCCACAAAGAGTCACAGAGCGGTTTATACAGCTTTGTTGTGGACAGAAATATTCTTAACAACAGAAACTTCACTATAAAACTATAAAAGTCCGTCTTCCAGCCTGCACCTGTATCAAACAATCCTCAAGACAAAACATTAAGAGACTAAATATAAGGAGACTTTGTCTGAGACCTTGACGGAGGAAAGAGCCCCATGAGAAAGAAAAAGAGCCTTTAAAATATTCACTAGTGGAAAGTTACCAGAGAGAAGTGAAGAAATTGATTATACATGTATTGATTTCCCCCATAGTGTAAAACTAATCATCACTCAGCACAGAGTTTATCTACCTCCAGAGGAGATTTTAATTCTAAAAGTAAAACATTGTTCCCGATGGAAAAATGCATTGGAGATGCAGACATCTTTTTTTTAATTGTATTTTTCATGTACCTGCAACTTTGGCTTGTATTTCCAACACCTCAGCACATTCTTGGAGCACACTAAGCAAACAATCTTTCACTGACTGCTTTTTATGCAGTGAAAGTATGACAGTAATAAACCCTAATTCAAAACATCTGACATCCCCACTCAACATCTTATTTATTGAAAACACAGTATAACAGCAACTTCACAAAGAGGGTGGGGAAAAATTAAATATCTGACCCACGAGCATTTCCACATACTCATGGTGGATTCTGATGGCGGATGATCAAAGTCAAAATATGTTCAGGTTACGATGGAAATAGCATTTTTAAGCAAAGTATTGTGCTGACTGTCCAAATTATACTATACAGTCAAGAATAAAACAAATTCATTTTACAGTATGACCAACACCTCTCAAATGCATATTCATTTGGACTGGGACCACTTCAGGTCACAAACTGTTCGTGTGCAATCGTTTTCTGTAACTTCAAGCGTGCACACATGGCAAATGGACAAGTTCACGTGTGGAAAGTGTCAATTTCCAACAATCAGAATTAGGCACTGGACTCATTTGCTCATGTTGAATATGTGCTTGCTTCCATTTCTCTCATCAACACAAAGAACGCAACATGTAGCCTGTAGTTTGGCTTTATACAAGATCATATATTAAAAGCAGGGACATAACACCACAGATTTCATGAAGGGAGTGATTACTTTTAAGATGGAGGTTAAGAACAGAAATTAAAATTCCAGAACGCTGCATCATAACATATATCCATATACTGTACAGTATATCTATATATCTCTATATATGTATTGCTTTCTACACTGACAAACATGCTATCCTTGGGGCAATACAAAAGACATGACAAGGGATTGTTAGAATTTCTAATATCAAGTCAAAATATCTGTGCTAAAACAAATTGTTATATTTTTAGCTCCTTCTCTAGGAGCATGGGCATTGCTAGTGAATTTGTTACCTAAACCAGCAAAAAGGGGGAAAAATATGCTGCTTATGTTTGTTACATTTTAAAAAACAAAACCCCCCAAAATAGAAAAAACCTGACAAAACAGCATGCCTCTGATAAGACTGTGATATCCCTGGAGCATGCCACTGCCTTTCTTTTATAAAGAGTTGTTAGCCACTGGGAGAGATTAATATTTTTACTGCAGTGGATTGGTTGTCTTCTTTGCATCAGTCCAGACAACTTTTCTCATCCATTAGTGTATTACAAAAACAAGACGCATTGGAGAGACAAAGATGCGTGCGCTGGTGAGATAAGCACACGCACAGGGCTTAGGAACACCTAACCTTCACAGTTGCAATAAACAATAACATGTGACTTAAGAGGATTTACATAAGATGAGAGGAGTAATCAGAGGGAGTGAAAAACCAATGAGGCAGCAATGGCATCTCCTCAGAAGTCTCTGCGTTGCTGAAAGAGGAAAGTTGCTTTTCCGCTGCATTTAGAGGAAAGCTGTCATCATTTAATTTCGTCTACCAGCAGCACAAACCAGCGTACACTGGATGTCATTTCTTTTTTTTTTCTTTTTACTCCAGAAAAAGCTTTGAGTCTAGATGTGGCAAAACTTTGCCACTGGAAGGGCACAGCAGGCACTAAAACATGACATAAGATAAGTCTCAGGCAGATTATCAGCGCTTTTCTGCTCAGGCAGCAAGAGGCTTGTGTACTGTTTGTGCTCAAATTCGCACATGATACTGTAGCTACAACAACTTTGTGTGAGAGGCACTGCAAGTGGTAGCAGCACAGCAGCCATTTAATCATACACCAGGGCTCTTTCTAAGAAATTAGATCCTCACATCTCAACACTATCAGTTATATCACATCAATGTTCTGATTAGAAACAGATAACTAACTTGAATTCAGTTGAAGAAGACACAACTTCTTTCATTGAACCAAGGGACACTGTGGAAAACAATCCAGGTGTCAAAGTCTCTTGATTGTGAGCAAACTCAAAAAAGCTTAGATTACGCCAAAGCTTCCTCTGTGACAAAAAAATATATTTTTTTGTAACTCTTATGTTTTGTGATTTTCTGGAAAAAATCTAGCTGCTGTCATGCACAACATCCGCTGTTATCTTATCCATCATGTTGCAGGAAAGCCTGTGCAAACACCTCTAACCAGGACCAGGATTCCACCTTTACTGGCAATTAATCACCACATTCTATTAGGATTCTTCTTTAAATCCAGATGACTTAAATTCAAATACCAAAACCAGAATTAAATGTCAGCCATATCTGACCGTCATTTATGATTCCATTCTTATGCCCTCCGCTGTATTGTGACTGTTTCGATAAGTCTAGTGACCAATTTACTGTCATCATTATTATATGTTTTGGTTTGTAGATAATGCAAAAACATTATGTGTAAACATTGATGACCAATGAGCCTGA